ATGGGCAGCAGGTACACTGCCCAGCTCTGTGAGCACTGGGGCAGAAGCACTTTTCCTCCGGATATCAATAAGAGCCTTGAAGAAAAAGGAATTGCTTCCTCTTAAGCCAGGACATAGAGAAATTCACTTTGGGAAACAGTCTTCATGAGGGCTGTGAGGTTCTCCAACTCAGCAGACCCTGCCCTTCAAGGCCTTCTTCAGTTTGATTGAGCTATGAATTCAGCATTGTCTCAGAGGGTCAGAAACAGTTGATTTCAAGTGTTCTCTAAATACATACAGATTCTAAATACATATAGATAATGTGTGAACTTTTGTATTGAATGATGTTGAATTTAGAGAGGTGACAGAACTTACTAAAGCGGATAAATTGAAAATAGTAGCTTGTCGTAGTAAAAAGAGAGCAAGAATACCAGCTCCAATACTGTGGAATGAGTAGAGATGCACTGGAGTATAGTATGAGTGTGTGTGTGTGTGTGTGTGTGTGTGTGTGTGTGTGTGTGTGTGTGTGTGTGTGTGTTAGAATATAGTATGCCATCTGTTATTTTCATTGCTTTTTGAAGAGACACATGGAAGAGAATTTTTTAAATTTGTTCTCACAATGCAGAAATGACAACCCTGTCCTATATTACCAGGGGTTCTGCAGAGGGAAACAAGTAACTCTGTTCTTTAGTATGCAGCATAAAGAAATGTAACCTTTTTTTATGACAAATCAAAAGTGAGAGCCTTCCTAAGAATACTCTTCAATGAACTTGTTTTAAAACTCAAAAAAGAAAGAGAGAGAGAGAGAGAGAGAGAGAGAGAGAGAGAGAGAGAGAGAGCGAGAGAAAGGAAGAAAAGAAGAAAGAAAGAAATGGTGTGGGGCTGGAGAAATGGCTTGGTGTTTAAAAGCATATATTGCTCCTGTCTAGGACCTGGGCTGGGATCCCAGCACCCATGTCAGCTAACAACAACTGTCTAGTCCAGAAATTCTAACACTGTCCTCTGACCTCCATAGGTACTTGCTCATGGTGCACGTTAAGCTCACACAGTCACATGCACATACACATTAAATCAATAAATCTTTTTTAAAATAAAAAATATTATGTCTGAATCCAGTGTGTTCCAGACTTGGAAAAATATCCTTTGAGTGAGGAAGTAAAGAAGTAAAGAAATGCTGCTAGGTGGTTTTCTGTCTCTGGCAGAAAAGAAGAAATATTTACACATTTGAATGGCATACACTTGCATAATTGGAGCCTCATTTCTAATCTTCACCTTACAAATAGTAATAATAAAAGAATTCTAGAAAGCCTACCTTCTTCAAAACACTGAAATAAATACCAAACAATAAAACTTTGGGTAACTACTATACATGTTGTGCTAAATCCTTCTGAGCAACATGATTCTCTGTTACACAAGTGGTGTGGCCTCATTATAGAAGGATTACAAAACTCAGATAGGAAGGCCATCCTCTCTGTGCTTAGAATCAACTTCTGTTCTCCCAGCCATTTATACGGCATTATATAAAGTATTTCACAGAAACAAGAATATGTGGATTCTACTGGGTCTTTATCCTATGGAGGAATTACTTGGTCCTGTCAGCCTTTTCTTAACCTGGTTGTCTGGTGAGACCCCAAGGATTTAGAGGATATAGCTTGGTGATATATACCTGAGATCTACCACAGAAAGCTGAGGCAGGCAGATTGTAAGTTTGAGGTCAGCCTGTGCTACATAGTAAGACCCGGTCTTTTAAAAAATAATAATACAAGGGCTGGGAGCTAGACATAGTAGTGTACTCCTGGAATCCCAGCCCATTGGAAGATCAGGCATTCAAGAACAACCTTAGCTAATTGAGAGCCTGTCAAAAAGGAAAAGAAAAAGGTAACAAAACCCAAAAAGAACTGGGGATATGGATGGTGGTAGATTGCTCACCTGGTATGCATAATGATCTGGATTTGAACCCTTGTACCATAAATATATATATTGGAGCTTTTCTAGGGCTTTTGCAAGGGATACACTTGTCTCCTGGCTTACAGGACCACACCCCACACTAACACCCATTGGTCTAGCCATTCATACCTCCCTCTTTCCCATGTTCTAGGCCAGCGTCTTGTCAGCCCAGGCTCAACCAACGAGACCTCATCCATCTTGGTGGAGTCAGTGACCAGGTCCTCAACGGAAACCTGCTATAGCGCCATCCCCAAGTCATCCTCAGATGCCAGCAAGGTGACCTCCAAGGGGGCAGGGCTCTCAAAGGCTTTTGTGGGCCAGAAGAGTTCTTTCCTGGTGGACTGCAGCAAAGCTGGTAGGCAGCACGGGTCTGCTGGGAAGGGTTAGCATGGGGTAGTGTAGACTAGACATCCTCATCTATTTCAGTGTCCCCCAGTAGGAGCTTCTATAATGTCCACCTCTCTCCCGCACTTACAAATAACCATGTCTCTTCCTCTGTCGTTCTGTACTTAATATTCTTAACTGATTTCCCTTTCTTGTGCCTCTTGATTCTTGTACTAAGATAAATGGAAGATGGTAGTGTCCCCATTTCAGATGAGAAAACTGAATTGATTACCTAACCCCTTTCTCTGATAACAGTTGCTTTAACCATAGCTTAAAATTGATTTGGGCTGGAGAGATGACTCAGCGGTTAAGAGCTCTGGCTGCTCTTCCAGAAGACCCAGGTTCAATTCACAGCACCCACATGACAGCTTACAAGTCTCTGTAACTCCAGTTTCAGGGGATCTGACACCTGCACACAGACACACAGGCAGGGAGAACACCAATGCACATAAAATAAGTAATTTTTTTTTTTTTTTTTTGGTTTTTCGAGACAGGGTTTCTCTGTGTAGTTTTGGTGCCTTTCCTGGAACTCACTCTGTAGTCCAGGCTGGCCTCGAACTCACAGAGATCCGCCTGGCTCTGCCTCCTGAGTGCTGGGATTAAAGGCGTGCACCACCACTGCCCAGCGTGAATAAGTAAATCTTTAAAATTGAATATTTCCTTAGATTTTGGTAGTCAATTGCCTGGCTCTAGCACTCAACACACCTGGACTGGAAATCCAGCTGCCACTTCATTCATTCACAAAGCTTTGTAGCCAGTTGCCTTGGGTGGGTTAACTGAATCCCCTAGAAGCCAGTTTCTTTTCCCAAGTGAGAATCATAGTACTGTCCTTAAGGTTTGTTCAGAAGAACCCAACAGCTGGTAGTTCTGTAGCCCTGTGTGCTAAGGGTTTGACTCAGTCACTTCTGTGACATACAGAAGCTTTAAGAGGCAGCTATTGAAGCTGGGTACAGTGGCACACAGGCAGATCTGAGTTTGAGGCCACCCTGGTCTACAGAGCGAGTTCCAGGACAGCCAGGGCAACAGAGAAAAATCCTGTCTCGAACCCCAACCCCCAATAAAAAGAGGCAGTTAGTGGCCTTCATGGTTTGTAGCTTAGGTAGAAAGATGTATCATGTCTCAGGTCACCAAAGCAGGTGGGGGTTGTCATCAGAGCTGGTATTTGAACCCAAATCAGACTGTCTCTACTGGTAATGACCATGCTTTTCCACCTGTCAAAGGACTATGGTATCATCATCCAAGCTCAGCCAGTAATCCCTAGTCTCTCTACCTTTGTTAGTCACATTCCTCCCTCCCTCTCTCTGATTGGCCTGACTCATTGGTCAGTAACAACCTTCTCCTCCCCCAGGGTCCAACATGCTGTTGATTGGGGTCCATGGGCCCACCACCCCCTGTGAAGAGGTCTCCATGAAGCATGTGGGCAACCAACAGTACAATGTCACATACGTCGTCAAGGAGAGGGGAGATTACGTCCTGGCTGTGAAGTGGGGGGAAGAACACATCCCTGGTAGCCCCTTTCAGGTCACTGTGCCTTAAAACAACTTGCATCCAATCCTGGAGAAGTTCTTCCAGTTGCTTTTGTTGCTAGTTTGCAATTCATTTTTTACAATGTCATCAGCCTGCTGCTGGGCCCAAAACCCCATCCCAAAACCACCCCATTCATTCCAAGTGCCTTTAGTGCCCTAGACTTGACTCTTGAGGACATCGTAAGAAAGCAAACTGGGGCCAAGAAAGTGCAGAGTACTCTGTCCAAATCAAGGCTCTTGAGTTCAAAGGTCACTGCAGACTAAGAACAGGGCAAGACTGCCTGGCTCCCCTAAGCTCCTGGTCTACTCAAGCATTTACCAAACAAGAATGTCATTGAGGAAGGGGGCCCTGCACCTCACTTGCCAAAGACCCTTGCAACCTACTTCCCTCAAGACTAGATGACAAATAAGAACGTCTAACCCAGATCACATTCCATCTCTGCGCTCTGTCATGGGCCCTGATCACTTTGACTTCATCCCACTGCCAACTCAGGTGCAAGAGGCATGCAGAACACTCTATACCCCATTTCTGGAATTCTGCACCTGCCTAATGCTTTATAAACAGTCTTGATGACAGGTAGCCATAACCAAATGCAGGGCCACTGACAGCTGCCCCAAGAGTCCATGACTTCTGCTAAATGGCAGAGACCACTGATAAGCTACTGCAGGACCCCCTCTGCAAAAGCTGGAAGGACTGGGTGCCACTGAACCATGAGAGGCCTTAATGGCCAAGACACTAACATGTGGTCCCACCTGAGGTCTCTCTAAAGGCTTTGGTAAGCATCACCAGGCTGTCAAATGGCTAAAGTGAATGTTAACAACAAAAACGAGGTGTTGTGAATGTTGTCATGGATGTGGCAGGGATGAAGTGAGTATCCTGCACCAAGGCATGGCAGCTGGAGAGGTGGGAGTGGTAACAGCCACCTATCAGGAACTGGGGCAGTTGAAGCCAGATGTGAAAGACTACAGGCATAATAGACAGGGAGACCAAACTGGAATCAAATGCCAACTGGAAAGTGTATCTTATAACTTATTAAATAAAATGTTTGCTCCATATGTAGCTCCCTGTCATTCTTAGAATCTTCACTATCAGTAGTTTGAGCCTCTGATCGGCCCCTTCCATCTCCTTGTAAGTGCATCAGTGTGATTTGTCAGTGGGCATGAGGTTTTCTTGCAAGCAAAGAGCTGTCTTTTCCTAAGAAGCCAGGTGGCAAGACATGGCCAGCCTCAGAGGCGAGAGGACTCATGAGGGCATGTGGGCCATGATACCAACATGACTTCTTTGGCATCTTAGATACAAAACCCAGGTAGAAAGTATCGATTTTAAGAAAGCCTCTTGCTTAATATCAGGAATCTGAAATCTCGGGAATGTTCTCAACCTGTTGTGGGGGACCTTCCCCCACTTTTTCCAGGGTGCTCTTGAGGAGAGAGGGATAAGAAAATATCAGATAGAAAGATAGGCCTAGATGACAAGAAGAAAGAAACACAGGATAGTTTCAGGAGGTCCTAGATCAATACCCAAAGGCCCAGAGATTCATTCAAAAGGGCTTTTTATAACAATGCCAAGAGGTGAGGCAAAAGACCTCCCCCTTGCTAGATACAGCCAAGTGTAGACCCTTTCAAACACCTGGTACCTAGGCCCTTGGTCCAGTCATCCTCGTACACAGTCCTGCTGGGTAAAGCAAACTCAGATCTCACTAGCAAACCTCTGTGGGCTCCCACAACCTGTCACTTGTCTCCACTGCCTTAGACACAGTGCCACCATCTGCCCCTCCCTCATCTCTGTCCCTGCCAGAAAAAATTATTGCTGATGACTCAAGATGTGCTTAACCTTCCATCTACTAACATTACAGTGGTCAGTTGACATTTTACAGGTGACAAAACTAACATGGGTTCAGTTTACACCCTGCATTTACAGACCCAGAGCTCATATGGAGACAGACTTGGGCCTATAACTTTTGACCCCAGAATGGGAGCTCTACACACAAGTCACTGCAGGGAAGCAGCTCAAAGAGAAAGGATTGCAGGAGCCCTACAAAAGCCCTTGACAGTACCCATGGTGATGGCAAGGCCCTAGTAGGCTGCAAAGCCTCCAGTCTGGGAATGAGGGGATCGGGGATTCAGGCAGGGAATCTAGATAACTTTTAGTGGTGGTATGTATGTGTATGTGGCATGGTCTTGTGAAACTCCCTATGTAGCCAACAAAGACCTTGAACTTTTTTATATGTATGCTATGCCAGGAGCAAACCCTGGACTTTGTGTGTGCTAGACAAGCACTCTACCAACTAAGCTACATCCCCTACTCTGCTTTCTGTGTTGTTGTTGTTTTTCCTGCTATACCTGGCTACATAATGGAATGATTTGTTTTCCTCTGAGCTTAGAGGAGGTGAGGCAGATGCACTCTTTCTTCTCTGTGCCTTGAAAGCCTGCCCTAGACTCCTAGCCTCTGTAAGGCTGTAGGCCCTGAGGAGTCCATGCAGATACTGTCTAGTGCAATGCTGGCTTTGCCAGAGAAGCACAGGGATGCCACCATTCATTTGTTCCCCTCTAGCCTGTCTAGGTTTGCTGGGGGAGGCAGAATTTGTACAATAACAGCATTGACTTTGGTGTAAGATGTCCCAGAATCTAAACACTGCCTCCTTGACTGGCCATCTGAGCATGCCTCCTTTGGCTGGGGGTAAGGCTCCCATGAATTCCCATGGGGATCTGTGGGAACACTTCTTTGCTTGTTATTTTGTGTGAACAACCCCTGCTGGCAATGATGTGCCTCATCCACGGTGTGTGTGAGCTGGCCAGTTGTAGACACCTGGTGAGTGGTAATAGTTTTACCCTGCCGTTGCTGCCTGTGATATCAGGTCCTACAGAGTGGAGTCCTGTTGCCCTCCCTGCCTAGAACCAGAGGGCAGCTCTTATCTGCATGTGGGTTTGGTTACTATAGAAACAGGCTATTGTTTGTGTCAATATCCTGAAAACTTTGAAACTGGGTGGGCCTGGTGCCAGGTGCTTCCTGACTTGCTGTTTGCCTGTTCCCAGCTGAAGCTTATGTCACTCCAGTGGCCAATGTTATTGCAGCCAGTGCCCACCCTGCTTCCAGATTGTCCCCTGCAGCCCAGGGAAGTGCTTACCAAGGTGACTCTGAGAAGCAAATGTCCATTAACAGCACACTTACACATATTAGCCCTAGGCCACTTGGTTTTAGACTTCAAAGGGGCCTTGAGAGCCACATTTTGACGCACTTGTTATACAACTCAGTACATGGGGATTTGATTTCCTTTGAAAATTGTTCAGCCTTAAAAATCAACAGACTCAAAAACATGGTATTTTTAGCCTTGTACCCTTCAGTTTGCTTGTTTCTTACAGTTTGCAAAGCCATCACTGGGAAGGTGGATTTTTCTGGGTTTTGTTGTAGGTTTTTGTTGTTGTTGTTGTTTTAATTGGTGAGCAGATCTAATACAAGTTCTCTACCACTGAGCCGTGCCCCCAGGTCAACCCCTGAAGTCTGTATTTAAGTGGGAGAATGAGAGGGCTGGGAATATAATACAGTTCAGTGCAGAACACGTGAGTTCCAGCACCAGCACCCACATGAAGAACCTGTGCATGATAGCATCCACCAGAAGTCCCCCATGCTGGGCTCCCTGGCCAGCCAGCCCAACCTAACTTGGCAAGTTCCAAACCACATGAAAGACCTAGCTCAAAAAAACAAGGTGGGCATCACCTAGTAAAATTTAATATTTCTTTTTTACAAATGTCAAAAGTGGAGGCAGAGAAGGCCCTAAGCAAGCTGGATTCAGTTTTTCTCTTTGGCCTTTCCCTAAAGATTTGGCCAAATGCATGGTGGGAGGGATCCTTGCAAACAAAAGATCCTTCTCTGCTTTGTCTGGGCCCCCAAGCCCATGGGGACCAGCTCATATGCATGGAATTTAGGGGACCCACCCCTCACACCCTTTTTCTCTTCCTCAGCATTCTCAAAGGCAGCCAGGAGCCTGGAATTTACAAGCCTGACTTGTGGCACGTATCCCAGGGTGCTTTGAGCTTTGGACTTGTTTATCTCCCCAGGACAAAGAATCTACTGGTCCTTTATTGCCCACATTTCCGCTGTCTGACCACCCGCCCTTCCACAGCACCAGGATGCCCTGCCTTGCCCAGTCATCATTGAGGTGGGGCACATTCTTTGGGTCCAGCTAAACCTGGGCAGGGTGTTCTCAGAACAGTCTGCGCCCCACTACTGGATAGCAGTAGAATGACCCAGTGTGTGAGGATCTGTAAGCAGTGTGTCCGGTGCAACAATTTCAGGTCTGGATTTCAGTCCCAGCCCTGTGGATTGACACCTCAATCATCTCAGGCCTCTGTGCTCTCATCTGTAAAACAGGGAGAGAGTGAGGACCTTACATTCTAAGCTAAAACAGACACCTCTCTGCTCAGCCCATTTACCCCCACAACCGACCTAGGTCAGCCAGGGCTTCCAGGATACCTGGAAGGATGTTGAGGTGACTTGGCTCCCTAAAGTGGAGAGGAATGGGTGTCCCATTGGGGGAAAGCTGGTCTGTGGGAGAAGACAGTAATGTGATGGTTCTAAGCACAGACTAGGAGGTTTACATCCTACTCTGCCTTGACTTCCCCCAAACCACTCGCCCTTACATAATACATGCCTCATGTGGGGCTTAGGAGAAGCCATGGGTCCGTGGAGCCAGAGCCTGCTGGGGACTGGATCTGGGCATCATCAGTGGAAACCAGTGAAGAACTCGGCAAAGGGTTCAAGTTTAACAATCCCAGCCCTGCAGCTTACCAGCCAAGACACCTCAGGGAATGGCCTCTGAACCTCAGTCCCACATCTGTAAAATGGGAAAATGGAGATGGAGATCAGTGCTCTGCCAGGTAGAGCCAGGAAGCTCTTATTCTGTGGCCATGGGACTTCTGTTCAGATGCAATTTCAGGCACATATAGAACAATCAGGGTTTGCAACCTGACCCAAGGGCCAAGAAGTTACTTGGGGACTACTCAAAGCACTTAAAAGAAGGTACAGAAGGCCCAGACTTCTGTGCTTAGTTTACATTTACTCTCTTAAGTCCCCAGACTCCCTCTAGCCTTCATCTTCTCCCAGGGATGGCTTGTGGCTGTTTTACAACTGTGAGCGTGCTCGCTTTTCAGATGAGCGTCCCTGTCTGTCCAGTCTCCCCACCTCTGCCTGGCTAACATGTTTGTAGTTGTGAGCCGAGTCCAAGAGCACTCCACCAAGAAGCCTCCCCTAACTTCCTACCACCCCAGCACCTTGTTGTAACTCTACCTCCTAGGCTGAAATGTGGGAACATAAAAGCTCCAACCCTCCTCATCTACCTACATTTTGTATCTTCATTGACACCTAACATCGGGTCTAGAGCAAATGAATGTTTGTTGAATGAATAAATAAGTGTACATACAGCAGTGGAAAGACAGGTGGCCCTGGAGCATAGCCCTTTCCTCTCTGGCCCTTTCCAGGAGAAAGGCAGAGGCTGCAAGAGTTCCATTGGCTAGCCTATGTTGGTGCTGAGGTTCCCCCTGCCTGTCTATGTCCCATCCCCTCTCTGATAGTGCATTCACCAGGAGAATTTTGTGTCCATAACTTGGACAGAGGTTTTAGAGTTGTTATGGTTTGAATCTGAGGTCCCCCCATAAAGGCTCAAGTACTTGGGACTAGGTTGCTACCCAAAGGGCTTTTGTGGAGTGGTTGATGCGGGCTCTGACCTAAGGAATGGATAAACCCATGGTGGGTTCATACGATGACATTACTGAGAGCTAGAGAGAGGAGGTAGAGCCTGGCTGGAAGAAGGCTATTTCTGGGTTGTGCTGTCAGGAATTGGATCTTACCCTGGCCCCTTCCTGTTGGCCACCATGAGGTGATGAGTCCTCATCTACCTGTTACAGCTACTGTTCTTTCTGCCCAAGCACATGGGCTAGTGACTGGACCAGACCAAACTGAGCCACAATAAATTGTTTCTTGTCTTTTAAGATTTTTCTTTTTTTTTTTTTTAAGTTCTTCTTAAGTATTTTGGCCACAGCACTAAAAGTCTGACAGATACAGGGTACTATCCCAGCACAAGCATTTAATGTCACTGCCCTCCCCCCATTTTCCACATATGAAAGAATTTCGAACACCTATAAGGAGTGTGCTAACGCAGTAAAAGGTCCAGCCTGGGGCCTGTGTAGAACAGGTGTGAACCTCCATATAACAGCAATGGTCCGGTCCTAACAGGCATAAGCATTTCCCTATACTTCATTTCTGCACCTGGAAAAGAGGTCATACACAGAGAGACGGCTTAAGGCCTCAGAGCACAGCATAGTACCTAGTTCCAGGCAGGTACATACTAAATTCCAGCTGACATTAATGGAGATTGCCCCCTAAACCACTCTGCCTCAAGTGCTTTACACACTGTGGAACTCTGTTCTCCTATTACTAAGCATACTCACACCATCATCCTGTGTACAGAAAGCTAGCCAGCAGGTGGCAGGACTGAACCTCTGAGGAGTGGGGCCACAGAATTGCCACATGGCCAGGCTTCCAGAGGGTGGAGACTAGACCTTCTGTTGGTCCATCTGGGTGTCTGGTATATAGCAAGTTACTTCAGGATCCATTGTGTGGAAGAGAGGCATGGTTCCTGTGTGTCCCCCTGGAAATACTTGGCATTTGACCCCCTGAAAAGAGTGGGACCCTCCACACCCACACACTTGTCATCCTGGGAGGGTCATGGCCAGGCTCTGCTTTCTTTTTTATGAATAAAAATTAAATTGTGTGTGTGTGTGTGTGTGCTGTGCTATGATGTGTGTGAGTGCTGAGTGCAGACATACCTGTGGAGATAAGAGGACAGCTTTTGAGAGTCAGTTCTCTCCTTCCACCCTGAGTTCCGGGATGGAACCCAGGCCTTTGGGCTTGCATGACAGAACACTTACCCGCAGAGCCATCTTACTGGCCCATGGTTCTGCTTCCTTTTCCAACTTGACCTGGCCTGGCCTGGCCTGGCCTGCCAGTAGGTGACCCTAGTCCCCGCGCCATCCCTCCCCCTCCTCTCCAGCAGCCCTGGCAACTTGACTCTCATTGGCTACACGTTTCCTTGGAGACAGACACCAGCCATCCAAACACAGATCTGAGCTTCAGGAAAAAGAATCTTCCTTCCCACCCCTGGGCTCCCTAGCATGGAAGAACTGTTCAACTCCCCAAACCAGGCCTTCTGGGAGGAGCGAATAAAGAAGGAGGTGGTTGCTCGGACCACCTGGAATATCCGCTATGGCCACAAGTACCTGAAAGAGGGGTCCAGGACTAGGAAGCAGTCCCAGCAGGCCCCTTGTGGGTCAGTGTTAAAAGCAGGCCCAGTGCCTGCCACTGGCTCCCCTGTCAGAAAAGAGGCACAGGCTGGATGGCTAGAGACCAAGGGGGTCCAGGACCAGCTGTTCAAGGCTGGAGGTATCCAGGGAGACATAGTGAGGCAGGCCAGGGGAGCCCAAGGTAGGCCAGAGGACTTAGAAATGAGGCACCCCAGCCCAGCCACTCTGAATCTGCTCTTCCAAGGCATCTCCCATGATGGCCAGGGCCGGACCCTGTACCTCAAGGAGCGGAATCGACTGATGCCAGAGGAGAAGTACAAGTACCCAATCGTGTCTTCCTGGGAGTATGGCTGGCATGTGGGTAAGACCATTACACTCTTGCTATTCCAGGCTTTTGGCAGGCAGGACTGACCCTCCCCAGCCTCACTCTTCACCACCTCCCTCCTGATACAAAAACCAAACTAGCTCACCACCCTACAAGTAGACCAGGAGACTTCTTACCTGCACATGGTGCCTGGCCTGTTCCCTGGAACACACCCCACCTCCCCTTCCTTTACCAGGCCTGGCTACATGCTACCTACCCTAGGGAGCCTTCCCAGAGTCTTCTAGGCAGATTCACTGAACCCACTTGGTGCTTCTGCAGCTTGGTGAGTCCACAGAAGCATGAGAACTGCTAAGTCAGTAGTCTGTGTGCCCCTTTGGCCTGGAAGGCCTTTTGTGTTCCAAGATTTCCTGGTTAGTTTTTTTCACAGCCTCTAGCTGCCTTCTTGGAACTGACACTGAAGTGACTATGGAATGAATGAATATAGACATGCCAAACGTGGTGGCGCACACTTGTAATCCAAGCACTCACGAGGCAGAGGCAGGAGGATCAGGAGTTCAAGGTGAACTTCAGCTCCGTGAGGAGACTGATGTGAGCCAGGGCTACATGAGACCCTGTCCAAAAAAAAAAAAAATCAAAACCTAAACTAAATACGAACAAGAAAGCAAGGACTTTATTTCAAATGGGGATGGGGACATCTCAAATCCTGGTTCTTCTGCTTCTGGATGCCATGATCTCATGAAAACATCACTTCTCAGGACCTTGGTTTCTATGTTTGAAACTGGAATAAGCACGTACCTGTTTTCCTTCATCACAGCATTTTTGGGAAGTAGTGTAGGAAAATACCTGGGACAGGTATTCAGTTCACAAAAGCCGTGTGAGATGTAAGCCCTGTGGAATCCTTCTCTCGGGACAGCCTGTATAGGGGAGAGCAGAACCTCAGCTCTCCGCTAAAAGGAGCATGGGAACAATCAGGCTCAGAGGGCAGATTCAGCACGAGCTGGAAAAATGGTTTCTTTGCTCATTCAATGGATTGTATGGAGCAACTGATACATGCCAGGCACTTTTTTGTCACTAGGGATGAACCAGAGAGCAAAACAGACATTGTCTCTGCCTGCATGGAAGGCAGACATGGCATAGATACATACTGTAGGTGCAGGCAGCAGCCATGTTGTGAGGGTTTGGGGGTTTTTGTTGTTTTTGTTTTGTTTTTTTAGTGGGGGTTCTTACTGGGCATAGGAGTCAGTTGTCAAAGGTTGGGGATGGGATACAGGTCTTTGCACACATACTAGGCAAATGCTCCATGTTGAACCTTGGCCTGTTTCTGCACATAAAACAAGCTCCCAGATGCTGCTGATGCTGCCTGTCTGTGAACCACACTGACTGTCAAAACTGTGAGAGTAAGAGTTAACTCAGTATATGGGGATCAGGACTGGGGGCTACCCTGGCAGACAGAAATCAGAGAGGCCTACTACAGTCTTGTCCTGGGTAGTCATTTTGCACTGTGCTCTTCTGAAAAGAACCTGATGGCCTGTACTCATGGAGAGCATCTCAATTAAGTGGCCAGCACCTCCTCCCCTCTGCCTCACAGGCCCATGCTCACTACCTGTGAAGGCACTGTATTGGTAGATTTTGCAAATACACACACAGGATACAAAGGCTCATTTGAATTCTAGGTAACAACTTTTTGTATGAGTGTACAGTAAATATGGTATGCGCATACTCTGAAGATTATTCATGACAATCTGCAATTCAAATGTGATGGGGCAGCCTGTGCTTTACCCAGCAACCCAGACTTGAGAGTGTCAGTAACCATGCTGGTAGCCTGATTCTGAATGTTCACTGGCCACTAGGGTGATGCTGGATTGTAGCCAGAAGCATATATCGTCTTCTTAAGTCCAAAATTGCTCCCAGAATCTCTAGAACATTTCATAAGCCTTTGGTCTCACAGCCTGAACCCAAACCCAATTCAGGTGTCACTTGGAGAACAGATGACAGACCTTCTGCTAACTGATACTGTCCCCTACCCTAATTATAAATAGAGAGGGGCAGTTCATCCCAGAGGGTGCAAAGAAGGCACAGGGAAGGGAGTTGGGGACATTGTCTGGGGCCCAGCTGGGTCAGTCATATATATATGAACAACTGACTGATACCTCACACGTAGTAAAGTGCTCAATAAAGTGGTAACAAGCACTGTATTTATTAGTGTTATTATTATTAAATTATGATTGTTATTACTGGTTCAACAGGCAGGATTTGCAGTGGGGTCATCTGAGGAGCTAGTTTGGCTTGGGCAGCCCCTAGAGATCTTACCATACAGTGGGATAGTGGGACAGTCCTAACAGTGGCAGGAATATGAAGCATGGTAAGTGAGCGCAGAGTTGGAATTAACAGTTGGAATGATTTAAGTGCTGGCCAAAAGAGATCCTGATCGGGTCCAGTGCAAGGTCTTGAGGTTCCACATGGTGCACATACTAGCCTTGAGTTCTGAGCATCCTCAGGAAGGGGCCAGGGACATTGAGAGGCTATTCCTGAGTGACAGAAGAGTTGCCCCCATATAACAGCACATCACTGCTGACCCCCAACCCTTTAGGTGGGGAAGTGCTAGCAGGTGATGACCCCTTTTCATCCAGGCCTCTGCTATGTTCCAGGAGATGCCATGAAGAACTACAGGACTCCAGCTCATGCCAAAACTCATCCCATCACAGATTCATTTTACATCAAAAATGGCATTTTCCATATTCCACGGCGATCAGACGACCTCATGTGAACTTGGCTTGGAAAGGGCCTCAGTGGCTCCTTTTCCCTATGATCCATCTGGACTAGCCAGGTGGGCCAGCCCTACCTCACTCCGTGTTCTGCTGAGCCCTGCTTCCTTGGCTGAGAGTGACGTGAAGAAGTGATCACAGGCGTACACCTCTGGGGTGTACTGTTGGTCTATGTTGGGGCTCCTGTCTACACATGGAGAACTCCACTCCTTACACAGCTGCCCCACCCTGCATCACTAGCAATGCTATTCCTTCTCCTGGGGAAGACAATGAGATGCAAGGCTGCATCAGCAGGCCTGGACAGGGAGGAATTCGCTTAGCCCACAAGGTGCTAAGGAGAGCAACGATCTCCTATTGTTTATCTCTCTGCATTTGACTGATGGGATCTATAGCAGAGTTGCTCTGTCCCAGTGTATCCTACAGTTCAGGGAAGGACTTGTCATCTCCTCTGGCTGCTTTCCTCACTCCTGCATCAGTCAGAGATGCCCTGCCTCACACACTGCAACAATCGGTCCCTAAGTTCCAACTATTTAAACAAATAAAAACACATTTCTTTTTTTTCTCTCCCCACCCCCCACTTGTTGAAGATGCATTTGTCCTACCAGAGTCTACTCTAACGTTAAGTGGACAGCGTCCTAGGTACTCATCTAGGGAGACACTGCCCTCAACTGGTGGTTCTGTCAATGACTCAAACCTCAGAATCCTTTTTAGAGTCCTCTGTGTCCAGTGGAGAGGGAAGAGAGATAGGAAGTGTGGAGACACTGGAACCACATGGGGTTTTCGTTAACTTGATTTTTCTGAGATAAGGGTTCATGTAGACCTCAGGCTGACCTGGAACCCTTTGGTGCCAAACCTGATAGCGTACCCACTCTTAACTACCTTGGCCTTGGCCTTAGCCTGATGTTTACAGGCATTACTACATCTCACATTCTATTAGTGAGACCAAGTCATGTGACTTCTAGGTGATTGACAGCTGGATTGTGTCCTATCATCATGAACCCAGGAAGGAGTAAAGAGAAAGAACCTCTGAACATCTAGCCCATCTCTTCCAAACTGGCATGTCCTTGGGGCTGTCCTGCAGCCACAGACACAGTCTAAACTGTGCGCCCTCCTGTAGCAGTTTTCCTAAGCTATGAAAATCTAGGAGACCTCAGACAACAGAAATTCACTGTATCACCACTCTAGAGGCTGGAGGTCCAGAATCCAGGGATCCATGGGGCCATGCTCCCTTGTCTGGCAGAGGGGCCCCTTCTTGCCACCTTCATGCCTCTCATGGCTTGAGGGCAGGCTTGTGCTCTTTGACTTGTGACAGTACTGCTCTAAACTGCCTTCAGTGTCACCCAGGTCAGCCTGACCTGTCTCCACAGCTCTATTGTATAAGGATATCAGACATGTTGGACTAGGGCCCACACCACTCTAGATGATTTGACTTACTGTTTCCAAATCAGGTGACACCACAAGACACTGTTAGTGAGGACTTCAACATTCTCACAATTCAGCCTCCCACCCCTGCCCTCTGACAGCCGTCCTTACTAGGTCGTCCTTACTACAGAGCCATCTTGATGAATCTTCCTCTTTGTGTTTGGAAAGCATTCCCAAGCACAGTCCCAGACATGGAAATAGTGATCCCATGGAGTCCCATCAGGTGCTGCTGTCCGCAGCACCTCATTGCTTAGGAGACATCCATATGTAGAGAGCCCAAACCCACACATAGCTCTTTGCAAATCCAAAATGTTCACAGGTTTGCCTTAACTCAGGGCACTGTGGTGCTCTCCATCCTAGTCAAAAGGGCAATCCCTCTGTCTGAGCAGAGAGTGAACTGGACAAACGAGTCTCTCAAGAGCCAGCTCTAGAGGAATTCTCCAGGCCTTTACTAGTTTGCTCATTATCCTGAAATTCAGAGACAGCCAGACTACTTAAAATATTGAATACAACTGACTTACCTGGCTTTCCCTAATCAACCTTGACAATGATCTTGAGTGAGAGATAGCAAAAGACAGACTTCGACCAAGGACCACTGTGGAAATACCCTATCTTGGAACTCACAGCAGCCTGACATGGCAGAGTTGCTGAACAAACACCTGCTGAATTTACTCAAACACCAATAACTCACTAGGTTCTCTGAGGCCATTGGATTAAAAGCACAAAGCTTTGGCTGGGCCCCTGGAATATAAAAGGCATATCTTTGAAATCACAGATGGAGTGAGAAGGGCTGTGGTGAGGAAGGTAGACAGCCTCGGAGCACGGAGAAAGCTCCCTGCAGCAGGTCACTGGCAGTCTATCATTAAACAAGGTCACACTTAGCAAGCCTTTGTCACAGTACCTGGCTCTAACCATGTGTGATGAATTGGGATTGTCTCTAGCAGCAGCAAGTACACAGGTTTCTCAGAGGAAGACAGGCTTTCTTGACAAGACAGGGCCTGTCCATCCACTAGGCCCTACTAAATGGTCATCTGAGGGGTGGTTTCCTCAGTTATCCCAGGGGCAGTGCTATATAGCTAGCCCCAAGCTAAAGGTGTGAGTTGAAAAGTAGATTCATGATAAACAGCAGCCGTCTCAAATTTTTATGCCTAACTTCTCCCTGGAAAACCAGACAGAAAAGACCTGATTGCCTGGCATGCACCAAATCCTGGGTTCAACTCCCAGGTCCCCAGCACCACATACAGGAGGCTTGGTGACACATGTCCATAATCCCAGTGTTTGGATGTGGAAGCAGGAGGGTCAGAAGTCCAAAGTCACCCTCCTTGTTCATATAGCAAACCCAAGGCCACCTTCAAAACATGAGACCCTGTATCAAAATGGAAAAAGAAAGGTGAGCAAGGAGGACTGGAGAAATGCCTCAGCAGGTAAGAATGCTTGCTGTGTAATCATGTGAACTGGAGTTTAGATCCCTGCATTTATGTAATATCCTGCACATGCCTGTGGCCCCAGCAGGGCAGTCAGGAGGATCACTGGGGTTAAGTTCAGAGAGAGCCTGCCTCAAGGAAATAGATGTGAAGTGATAGAGGCTGACGCTCAAACCTCTTTTGGCTCTAGGCATGCAGACCCATTCACACATGCACACATACAGTCACACAGAATCACACAAAGAAAGGGGGATAGAGGAAGGAAGAAGGAAAGAGGGAAAGACAGGCAGGCAGATAGCCTATCTATGTATTTAATAAACACACGTGGAATTAGCAGGCATTTTTCTAAGCCTGCATCTCCAATTTGGTATTCATGAGCCACATGTGTCACTGAGCATTTTAAATACCTTACACACATTGATATATTCTCTGAGTATAAAAAGCACCTGGGTGTGTGTGTGTGTGTGTGTGTGTGTGTGTGTGTGTGTGTGTGTGTGTGTGTGTGTGTGTTTTAAGATTTAATAGAAATATGAACAATTCCATCAATAATTCTAAGATTAATATGAAAGACCGTTTGAATCAGTTTTCCTGTGAAGTCCTAGGGTAAATGTTTCTAAGCTTGTGAGCAATCTAGTCTCACCCCGACAGATGGTCAACTGTACTGCTATAAAGCAGAAGCAGCCAGAGAGCATTCAAAAGCCCTGGGTGTGGTGGTGATGCTATGAAACAGGGAAGGCCAAACCAGAGGCAGATGGGCTAGATTGGACCCACACACACTGACCCTCGGGCTTAAACTTATAAAATACGTTATTTGTTTACTTTTACTTTTTAAAAGTATGGCTGCTGGATGACTTCAAATTGTATATTGGCTCAAAGTATACTTGTATTAAGAAGTCTAACCCTGAACCTGATAGAAGCCAGAATTGTCAATGATGGAGAGTACGTGTGGGTGTGTGTGCGCATGTACAAGCAAGGCAAGAAGTGTGAATTTCCATGACAGCCTAGAGAGGGCTCCCTAGCCTGCGTCCCACTCTAGCACGGAGTCCAGGTGCAAAGAGCATTGGCTACTTCCCAGGTCATCTTCCTAAAGTCCCTTGTGACTAAGCCAAAGTTTCCAGAAAAGCCACCAGGTGGCGATAGAAGACCAGCCTTTCACTGTTGAGCCTGAATTTGGGTTTCCTCTCTGTGTTAGAGGACACTTGGAAGAACATGCCCTTTGGAGGCACACAAACCTGGATTTGATTTAGCTTTGCTAGCAGGACAAGTAAGATTCCTGTTAGGACTCTCCTGAGCCCTGGCTATTATTCTAGTTTTAGGTCCATTCCTCTTTTAAAAAGTTGAAAAATTGTATTTTTATCTATGTTCTTTACAAAGAAAAACATTAACATTACATATTAAATTTTTCTTCAACTGAAAATTTATCATTTCTGTGACCCCTAAATTTATTGTGTTCCCAAACTCAACCCAAGAAGTTGTGCCTACCCTTGCATAATAAATGAGTAAGCTCTGGGTTCTATGTTCTCTAGCTGTGTGACCTTGGGAAAGTTGTTTGACTTCTCAACTATAGAGTGTGGATGACATCAGATATCACCTCTTCACCATGTGGTTGGAATTCCATGAGATAGTACAGGCTACAACTTTTTACACTGATATTCTAATTTTATTGTGTTTATTTATGTGGAGGTCAGAGGACAACTTGAGGAAGTTGGTTCTTTCCTTCCATCATGTCTGTTCTGGAGATCAAATTCAAGTTGTTGGGCAACAAATGTCTTTACCTTCTGAGCTATCCTACCTGCCCAGGCAACATCTTTTTAGGGCACAGCCTAGGGGTTGAAGATGTAGCTCAGAGAGTAGAGTGTTTAACTAATATTCATGAAATTAAGTTTGACCTTCAGCACTGCATAAAACCTTGCAGGGTGGTCAGCATCTATAATGCCATCACTCAGAGGTGGGAAGGTGGAGGCAGGAGGATCAGAAGTTCATCCTTAGCTCCATAGCCAAGTTTGAGACCAACCTGAAAACATGGAACCTTTTCTAAGAAAGAAAGAGAGAGAGAGGGAGGGAGGAAGGAAGGGAGGGAGGGAGGGAGGGAGGGAGGGAGGGAGGGAGGGAGGGAGGGAGGAGACACAGCCTGGAGTGGATCAAGCTTTGCAAAAGACAGATATTATTTGTGTTTTTGTTTTGAAGTCTACTTTCAACTTGTAAGAATGGATCTGGGGTCTCAAGTAAACGACCACGCAATCCAAAGTATTTTGGCAAGACAAAAAGTGTTTGCTGCAGAAGGCTGCACAGCCAGTCAAATCAAGCAGGCAAGCACGCCCTGGGTTTTTTATTCCTAATGCAAACGGGTCCTGTGCCTCACTCTGAGTGGTCAGAGCTTGGCCTCACCTTCTTACATGATTGGCTGACTTAAAGAGACACAGTTGCTAAGCAGAATACAATTTTGAGCAGCAAGGGCAACCTTGAACTCACGTTTTGATTTCAAGAAGTGTTGACCCTGGGGAATTTAATACACACACACACATACACACACACACACACACACACACACACACACACACACACACACACACACACATTTTAATTTTATATGAAGTCTTGTCTTAGTTAATCCTTCCATAGAAAACTCAATACGTTTCCCACACACTGTAACTTGTTGGGAACACAGATTCATACCATTCAGCCAAGCAAGCTGGTGAATATGTGTCAGGCAAGGGTCCTTGGGACACAGGTGTGTGTGTGTGTGTGTGTGTGTGTGTGTGTGTGTGTGTGTGCGCGCGCGCGCGCTGCTCACATCCTTCTGCCCTTACTTTCTTATAGTTCCTTAATTTCAGTAGTTCCTTAATTTCTCTGAATCCGACAGATTGAAGCCATAGCTGTTAGTGTCCCATGAGCCTTTTCCAGAATGTGATCCACAGGTAAGTGGCTTAAAAATGCTGGCTTCTCCCGGGTGGATCTCTGGGAGTCCAATTAGCGAGAATGAGGAGGGTTTATATGAGCGAGAATTGTTGAGACCAAGGTTGGATAAAGCACAGGGACAAATAGCCAAATGAATGGAAACACATGAACTATGAACCAATGGCTGAGGGGTCCCCACTGGATCAGGCCCTCCGAATGGGTGAGACAGTTGATTGGCTTGATCTGTTTGGGAGGCATCCAGGCAGTGGGACCAGATCTTGTGCTCATTGCATGAGTTGGCTGTTTGAAACCTGGGGCCTATGCAGGATTGTTTGGCTCGGCCTGGGAGGAGGGGACTAGACCTACCTGGACTGAGTCTACCAGGTTGACCTCAGTCTGTGGGGAAGGCTTTGCCCTGGAGGAGATGGGAATGGGGGGGGGGGGGTTGGGGGGAAGGTGAGGGGGACGGGAGGGGGGAGAACAAGGGAATCCGTGGCTGATATGTATAACTGAATTGTATTGCAAAATAAATTAAAATAAACTAAAAAAAAAAAATACAAACAAACAAAAAAAAAATGCTGGCTTCTTCACAATAGTGAATAGAAGATTCAATTCGGCCGCTGATTCAGTTGTGAGCTTCTGTTAATAGCTCTAATTTCTGTCTATACACCTTCCTGGACCTGGTTCTTTTTCCTTATTTGGGAGGGATATGGAATATGGTCACGAATTTGGCAACTGTGTGTGTGTGTGTGTGTACTTAAACATGTACATGCACATGTGTGTAGAGACCAGAGATCTATGGTGGGTATGCTTCTCATTACTCCATCTTCTTTTTTGAGACAGGGTCTCTCACTGAACCTGGAGCTCACCAATTCAGCAAACCCAGGGATCCTCCCAGAACTAGATTCATAGACACATGCCATCATGCCCAGCTTCTTACATGGGTGCTGGGGACTTGAACTCATATCCTCATGCTTGCATTGCAAGCACTCTACAACAGAATCATCTCCCCAGCCCCTGGCAACTGCCCTTTACACTTGTTTTCCTCAACTCAAGGAAGAAATCTGAGTGAGGGTCTCTTTGTATGAGAAGCCCCCTCATACTCTACTTCCAGGAGGAACACAGTAAAGGTCACTGTATCAGAGGCAGGAAATGGGTATGAAAGAGGAAGGTGCTATTACAAGTACTGGAAGTAATGGCATCCACTTTTCTTGAGGCTCACTTGCAAAAAAAAAACATTGATGCTGTAGCAATGGCAAAGCAAGGGGGCCTTGGCATGGTTGGTTCTAAGTAGCTAAAGGGAAACAATAGGTACCTAGAGGCCCAGAGATCCCTACCCATGATGAAGGGAGTCCTGCTAATAAAGCTTCTATGGCTGGAGAGATGGCTCAGTGGTTAAGAGCACTTACTGACCTTGCAGACCACCTGGGTTTGGTTCTCAGCACCTATATGGTAGCTCACAACCATCTGTAACTCCAGTTCCAAGAGATCCAATGCCCTCTTCTGGCTTCTGCAGACACTGAATGCATGTGGTGCATAGAAATTAATATAAACAGAAAATACTCATATACATAAAAAATAGCTTTCACTCATCAGTGGCTTGGCAGGGAGTATCAGTCTCGTATTCAATGTTGTTCATCCCATATATGATTTAATCATTACCTTTGTGGTTGATCCTCTTATGTCCACTTTACAATAGGGGATATGAAGGTAAGTAGCCTACCCACTTCTCCAGGTCTCATGGTCAGTAGGCAGTATAGTATATGGCTTTAAAATGGCCGTGCTACCTCTCTTCTATTAAGAAAGGATAAGGGAGTGATCCAAAACCCAGTCCTCAGATCTCCTACCTTTGAACACACCTGGACATAAGGGGTAGTGGTGCTTGTAGAAGACAAGCATGAGAATCTGAATTCAGTCCCTGGACCCCACAAGAAAAATCTGAGCATGGTAGTGTGGAGTTGCAATCCCAGTGCTAGGGAGGCAGAGGCATGCTCTGGGGGTTTCCTGGCCAGTCAACCTAGCCTACTTGATAAATTCTAGCTAGTGAGAGACCTTTTCTCAAAAAAGGGGGTGGTGCCTGAGGAATAATACTTAAAGTTGATGTCTGGCTTCTACATACACCTGTACACATAAGATGACACATATACACAGAGATACACATAATGTAGGTAATTAGGTGTCTTAGGGTTTCTATTGCTGTGGAGAGACACCATGACCACTGCAACTCTTATACAGGAAAACATTTAATTGAGATGGCAGCTTACAGTTTAGAGGTTCAGTCCATTATCATCTTCATGGGGAGAATGATGGTGTGCAAGCAGACATGGTGCTGGAGAAGTAGCTGAGAGATCTACATCTTGCAGGCAACAGGAAGTGGTCTGAGTGTCACATTGAGCAAAGCTTGAGCAAGAGACCCTAAAGCCCTCCCCCACTGTGACACACTTCCTCCAATAAGGTCACACCTACTTCAACAAGGCCACACCTCCTAATAGTGCTATTCCCTTTGGGGGCTATTTTCTCTCAAATCACTGCACCAGGTATATTAGTTATTTTTTGTTGTTGTTGCTGTGACAAAACCCTAAGACCAAAAGCAACTTACGAAATTGTTTATTTTGGTTTATTGTTCCAAAGGGATAAAAATCCATCCTGGCAGGCAGACATGGCAGCTGGAACAAGAGGCTGAGAGATCACATCTCAACCACAAGCATGAAGCAGAAAGAAAGAGTTAGAGGGGCACGGCTATATACTTTCAAAAGCTACCCCCAGTACATCCTCCAGCAAAGCCACACCTTCAAAGCCACCCTAGACAGTGCCACCAGCTGGGGACTAAGTGTTCAAATGCCTAAACCTATGGTTAAGAATTTCTCATTCAAACAACCACATGAGATATAACTCCAGGATACAGGAGCTAGAGGCAGGAAGATAAGGACTTCACCATCATCTACCGCTAAAAAGCAAGTTTGAGAAGCCTAACACATGAGACTCTGTCTCAACAAAAAAATGATAGATGACAGAGAGATTAGATAGATAGATAGATAGATAGATAGATAGATAGATAGATAGATAGATAGATAGATGATAGGCAGGCCTTGGCTCACATTTCTTGAGAGATACTGTGGACATCTAGAGCCTGCACATCAGCATGGAAACTGACTTCTTAGGTCTTTGATACTCGAGCTACAGATGCTTTGTACAAAGCTGAAGGAAGAGATGATTTTTGAGCACATGTATGCACATGCGCATGCACACATGTACACGCACATGCACACACACATGCACACACACACACATATGCACGCACGCGCGCGCACACACACACACACACCCCCAAAAGTCACTAGATTCCATCTCCCATCCAGGCCTAGTGATCAAGATATATAGAAGGTTTATGCAACATTCCACCATGAAGAGTAAAAGTAGTTCCAGTCTGCAACCTCTGGCCTGGCTTGTAGGGCCCTGGCCTCCTCCCATTTTGAGTAAGCCGTTGTCTGCTTGCAGACCTTGACCAGATGTCCTCCCTATGCTAATTCCCTGCCAGTTTCCACCCTCCTGAATGCTTAAGGGAAGTTCCTTGTTTGTGTATCCTGCATATTGGGCATTAACAGTTTAGATGCAAGAATGTAAACATCAGTAGCGAACTTCTGCCCTCTGGGGTTCTCCCATTGTGCTGTAAGCCTGTATTTAAGGTTTCCTCCCTCTTTCAGTAAATGGCATTCGGCATTTTGCTGAGGCGAATGACCCACTGTCTCATCTCTGTTTTTTGATCCACAGCCCCTCGCTTGGACATGGTGAACAGGTGGTGGTAGCGCAGGGGTTATTGCTACACTGGCTGAGTATGGCAGTGACAGCTTGTAGAGACACCTGCTTGTGACTCTAACCTGCTAGTGGCCAGAGACAGAAGAATGTGTAGTCTGGGAGGAAACTTCAGGGTGTCTGGACTGGTTGACCCCCAAGTTAGAGGCATAGGAAAGGCCCTTTTGGTACCCAGTCCACTTCCTCCCTGTCTCCATACTCAGTGAGTCCCAAGCTCATCACCCAGGATTCTTGTCCTACCTTGCAGGCTACAAGAATATATTACAGAGATTCAGCTGTGCATTAAAGCTATATTTTGACTGGTCAAGGGTCTATCAAAAGGCAAGCCATTTATTATGAATATTTGGTGCTACCCAGCCTTTATTTCAGCTGTCTTCTACTATGAAATTCTTGCATGCCCAAATATTTCCAGACCCACTGAACTTCTAGGTTACCAAATCCCCCCACCCCCAGCCTAGGAGACAAGCTGGCTGGAGATGCATAGCTTTGCTTCTTGTGCAAATGAAGCTCAGACCATCTCCTCCCCTTGAGGCCTAGTGTCTCTTCAGAGCAATTGACTGAGAACAAAAGAGGTTTTTACATATCAAGGTAGAAAGCAGGATGGAGGAACATTCCTGAGAAGGCAGAGAACCACATGGCCAGCAAAAGAAAGGGCAGGCATTTTTCTGTAGAGCAGACAGAATGGCATGGTGAGGGAAAAGAGAGGAAGACAGAGGTTCCCTAGAGGGTCTTGGGTAGAGTTTTCTGAGTGCCAGGAGTAGAGAGTAGTGGAAATAGAGAATAAGGACACAGAGGACAAAGATGAGGCTGGAAGCATAGGAGTTTAGTCATTAGCAGGACTATGAGCTAGGGAACTGGACGGAACTGAAGCTATGTAGACAGGATTTCATCCTGGAGAAATAAAGTAGATGGATAAAGAGCTTGGTGTACCTATATTTATTCTCATCCTGAATGCCTGATGGAGCTATAGCTGTGTTGATAGAATTTTGTCTTAGAGGAATAAAGTTAACAGATATAAGAGCATAGTGTACGTAGATATTTTTCCCTCAGATATCCCACGCTGGATGTAGCACAATACCCGCACCCTGGGAATTCAATAGTCCTTGCCACACCAACCAGGAAAATTTTGGTGCTTTGAGGTAAAGGAACACTCTTCTCTCCAGAACAGGCTCACATGTGAATATCTTACTTTGCCAATGTTGTGCCCAGATCATGACCCCCAGAGAGACCACCAAAGACGAGCATACCGGAATGCAAAAGCAAGGTTTAATTCTGGATATCCAAAAGTAATACAAGCCTAGACAGGGACTTTGTCCAATACATCCAACGCAGTGGAGGCTGGAGGAAGTGCCCGCCTGTCTGCAAGTTCAGCTTTTAAAGGGAAAAAATCACAAGGTTACATCATTTAGGGGTGCTAGTACAGATACAATTCTGATTGACTCGCTTCTAGGGGCTTCTAGAAATCATGGCTTAATCTTACTTCTAAGGGAGTGATTGCCCGCCACCATTTCTCATTGGCTGCCCTGGGGGGGGGGGGGGCATTTTTATGGTCAGTTACCTTGGAAACCAGGGAGAGGACATTCCATAGTCCAGCAGGCATTACCTCATGACTACCTTGTGACTCTGTACTTTTACACTTCCAGGTTTCTGGAATCTGAACTGACTGGTTTCAGTAACTAATGGCCTATTCCCAAAAGAAGAAATCTTAGGCTTTAATTTTAGGGTGAAAGCATTTTGGTCTTATTTCTAAGATGGCTCATTTTGGTCTCACACCATTTGGGCACTGAAGGGTCTCTGGGTACATGAACTCTGCCTCAGAAGAGTGCCAACGTCTCAACAACCTTATCATCTCCCCCTAAAGTCTCAGAGATAAATTGGACAATAGAAATCTCAACAAAATCTCAGAGGTAGGTGGACATTTGGGGAAGATGTCTTTCCCAACTTAAACAGGGCCCTTTTGATTTTATTCCCTTAGCAAGATGATACATAATTCTAGATATTAGACTGCCACCATTTGGAACTGGAGTGGCTCCCAAAGTCTCATGTAGAAAAGATTTGGTTCCCCAGCCCATGATGCTGTTGGGATGATGGAGCTAACTAAAACAAAAACTCATTGTCTTTTTTTCTTACATCAAAGTCACACTGTCACCAGTATATTAAGGAAAAAAAAGCAGCTCACAGACCCATATTTACAGTGTGATACACTTTATATTTCTTAAAATTACACATGGTACTCATTTATGTTGGTTATGCTGCGGCGCTGCCCCTCGTGGCTGGTCGCCGCCTGTGGTGGCCATGCTGGCGGAGGAGCATGCTGATTAAAAGAATCATAGCCATGGTTACCTTTTTAGAGCTTTATTGGGGGGGAGAGAGAGACAGAAAGAGAGAGAGAGAGATGGTGGGGGGGGGGACCGACGGGGTGGAAGGAGCGGAAAGGAAAGGGGACAGAGAGCCCACAGAAGGACCACCCGCTTTTTAGGCTGGGAAGCCGGCGAAGGCTGATGACGTAATTAAAGACTAAATCCTTACAATTTATGCATGGACACCTTTAGGAAGACCACAGAAGCTGTGTGGAAAGGTTGCTTCTGGGACAAGAAACCAGGAGTAGGGCCAGAAGTGCCACTAATTTTCCCTGCTCCTGGTACATTCGTGTACAAGAGTAAAGAAAGAATATCCTGCAAAACAAAGCAAAATGAACAAAAGTGGGCACCCTGAATACAAGTGACATGGTGCCACATTGCTGGATTCCAGAGTGGCAAGAAGACAACAAAGCCTCAAGTCCAAGTCAGTCAACAGGACTTTCAGTGAGTTCCAGAGCTGGCCCTGGTTGTCACCTGGTTTGTCAATACAGTGTGGCAAATATTGCAAGGGAAGCATGAGATGTGAGACAGAGGACACTTGGGAGAGGACAGGGAATGCAAGGTAGAGCCTCTTTGGGGAGTTGGGAGAAGGAGGAAGAGGAAAGGGAGAAAGGGGAAAAAAGAAAGGGAAGAACCTATTGGAGCATGCAATGCAAAGTGAGGCTGGCTGTCAGATAACGGAAACTTTCTTGGTGTCCAAAGACTGAATTCAGGACATGCGATGGCTTATGGGCATGGCTGTGGGTAGGGGTAGTCTATGGGTAGGGGTGGTCTATGGGTAGGGGTGGTCTATGGGTAGGGGTGGGTTGTGGTTTTGGGTAAGGGTGTGCTGTGAGTAGGGGTTTGCTGTAGGTAGGGTTTTGCTGTGGTTAGGGCTAGGCTTGTGGGTAGGGGTGGGTTATGCGTATAGTTGGGCTGTGCATAGGGGTCCAATGTGTTCTTGAAATAGAAGGGATGACACTGGAAGTACTTAGACTGGTTGACTTAGAGCAATAGAGACAGTAAGCACTGTGGGAGTGGCCCTCATTCTCCATCCCTGATAGATGTTACAATTGTCTGACCCTGGGAGGATGAAGTGGAGTCTGATTGCCTACATCATGAGCCTTGATTTGAGTCTTGGCATTTCTGCTCATATCTGGGAAACAGGAGTCCCTTTTGAGCATTGGCAGATAGGACTGACAGCTGACATTTGTCCTGCTTCCTAACTAGTGGCAGGTCACAATGATGATGTTGGGTCACAGACTCTTCTCCCTCTTGGCTCTAGATGGAATGAACTCAAGTGAACAATGAAAGCAGCTCTGCCATTCTTAATTCCTGAGCATGCAGTTAGTTTAGACCCATGAGAGCAATTTTATTTGGAAGCAAGGAGTGGCTTTTAAAATAATGGCACCGTGGTACCTAGGAACGATTGCCTCTTTTTCTCTTCTTTAGAGCAACAGATTTTCTGTTGTTGGTGAAGGCCCTTGAAGATTGTAGCTTAAACTCAACTGGAAAGTGGTCACTGACATCCAGGGCCTGTAAGTGGAAAATAGAAGTAGATTTGGGGGTTAGAGGATGCCTGGGACAAACTGTGGCTTTAGCAATGACCAAATTCAGTAGTAGAGAGGGAAGATGAAAGGCTGAGGTCCTCAGATGGAACTGATGAGTGTTGCTCTTGGTCCTGCTCCTGGGAAATTTTGACTGGTCTTCAAATCACAGAATTGTAAATCTTAAGACTCAAGAGCAGCCCTCCCACATTTCCAGGCTGATGGGTCAGAAAGATGTGGTGGTAATCTTACCTCCTCTTCTGACAACTCATAAGCTTTCTGGAAGTCAAAGGTGCCATTTGAATGGGGAACCACTGAGTTGACTATCTCTTGTCCTCGAAGCACAATCCTGGAGTGAGGACAAGGAAGATAGATGCATTAATTAGTCCAAGCTATGGACTTCTGAGATAAAAGGGAGGTCTGGGTTTGACACTGAAATTGATTGAGCAGCCTGTCCCTTTTGTGTAGTGGATGCTCCGTGTCTACAACTAAGTTTAGCTTGCTACCTGTACTGATTAGGTTTTGTAAACTTGTCACCAACCTAGAACTATCTAGGAAGAGGGAGCCTCACTTAAGGAATTTCCTCCATCAGGCTGGCCTGTGGGCATGTCTGTGGGAGCATTTTTTTTTAATTGTTAATTGATGTAGGAAGATCTAGGCCACTGTGGATGGTACCATCCCTAGGCAGATGGGTCTGAGCTTTAGTAGTTCAGTAGTTCAGTTTTGTTTATCAAAAACAGTTGATAAAACACTCATGAATGATTAAAGAACTGTGAGAAGTATCACCATCCCTGCTATCAAATTGTTCTACAGAGCTATAGATATAAAACCAGCATGGTATTGGCACCAAAACAGACATGCTGATCAATAAAATAGAGATGAAGACCCACAAATAAGTCCACATATCCATGGGTACCTGATTTTTTTTATAGAGAAGCCAGAAATAAACACTAGAAAAAAAAAACTGGCAGCATCTTCAACAAATGGTGCTGGGCAAATTGGATGTGTGCAGGTAGAAAAATGTCAATAGATCCATACTTATCACCCTGCACAAAATCCATCTCCAAATGGATCAAAGACCTCAATGTAAAATTAAGTACACTGACTCTGATAGAAGAGAAAATGGGGAATAAACTTAAACTCATTGGCACAGAGAAAGACTTTCTGAACAGAACAACATTAGCACAGGCACTAAGATCATCAATTAATAAATGGGACCTCATGAAACTGAGAAGCTTCTTCAAGGCAAAAGACACCATCATTCAGACAAAGGAGCTGCCTACCAACTATATATCCAATAAAGAGCTAATCCAAAATGTATAAAGCACTCAAAATGTGGACATCGAGAAAACAAATAACCAAATTAAAAAGTGGAGTACATATTTAAGCAGAGAATTCTCAAAAGAGGAAACAAATGACTGAGAAACATTTAAAGAAATGTTCAGCATCCTTAGCCATCAGGGAAATGCAAATCAAAACTACTTTGAGATTACATCTTACACCTGTCAGAATGGCTAAGGTCCATAAAACAAGTGACAGCTCATGCTGGCAAGGATGTGGAGTAAGGGAAACACTCCTCCATTGCTGGTGGGAGTGCAAATTTGTATAGCCACTATGTAAATCAGTGTGGCAGTTCATCAGAAAGATGAACCTCAAGTTCCAGCTATTTCACTTTTGAGCATATACTCAAAGGGCAATTCATCCATCAACCATATTCATTGCTGCTCTATTCATAATAGCCAGAAATTGGAATAATCTAGATGTCCATTAGTGGTTGAATGGATAAAGGAAATGTAGTACATTTACACAATGGAATATTAAAAATGAAGTTTGCTGATGGGTGGTGGTGGCGCATACCTTTAATTCCAGCACTTGGGAGGCAGAGGCAGGTGAATCACTGTGAGTTAGAGGCCAGCCTGGTCTACAGAGTGAGTTCCAGGACAGCCAAGGATACATAGAGGAACCCTATCTGCAAAAGAAAGATAGGAAGGAAGGAAGGAAGGAAGGAAGGAAGGAAGGAAGGAAGGAAGGAAGGAAGGAAAAGAAATTTGCAGGTAAATGGATAGAAAAAAATCAGTCTAAATGGGGTAACTTAGACCCAGAAAGACAAACACATTATGTATTCACTTATTTGTGGATGTTAGCTGTTAAGTCACTGATAATCAAACTACAATCTGTATAACCACAGAGGTTAGGTAGAGAGTAAGAGACTGGAGGAAGGGACAGATGGATGCCCCTAGGAAAGGAAAATAGAATAGATAGTTGTGGATAGATGGTTTGGGGTTTTTATGGTATTCCTGTGAATTTGAACATATGCATCCCTGCATCTATGTACATTTCTTGTGCTTTTTCTTTGGCTCTTTCCCTTGTTTGATTGTTTTGACCTACTCCAATTTGTTTGTTTTTGTTTTACCTTATTATATTTTATTATTGTTCCTTAGAAGACTGTTTGCTTTTTGGGAACAAGAGGGGAGGAGAGGAGGAACTGGGAGGAGTTGGGGGAGGGGAAACCATAATCAGAATATATTGTATGAAAAAAATCTATTTTCAATAAAAGAAAATAAATAAATGGAAAGAAAAGAAAAGTAGCTGAGTAGCTAGAGTGATCCATCTAGTCAGCAGCATTCCTTCATGGTCTCTGTTTCAGTTTCTTCTTTAAGTTCCTATCTTGGTTTTCCTTGATAATAGACTATAACCAGTAAGCTAAGCTAAAGAAAACAAAACAAATTCAATAAGAAACCCTATCTCAAGGCAATAAGACAGACATGTATCTCTGATCTCCTGGTGCATGCATCTGCATTCTCAATTGCATTCACCAACACACACACACACACACACACACACACACACACACACACACACACACACACGTGCGAATGTAACAGTTAAAACAAAACAAAACAACAAAAAGCCTTTCCTCCACAAATTCGTTTTGGTTACAGTGTTTATCACAGCAACAGAAAAGAAAACCAGGAGCTTCCCTAGAGGATGGCACCTACAGTTTCAAAGCAGAATCAGTCCCTGGAGTAGCCCTGTGATCACGGCTATAGCCCCAGCATGGCAGACGCAGGTGGTACAAGAACACACTTCACATATGGGCCATACCATACAGCCATGGTTTGCAGTATGAGAATGTTGCTCTCCTCTCATCCCTTTTTCACTTAGTCCTGATTCTTTTTGGCAAAAATCTCAGATAGGTGCTAACCTACCTTGGACACCTTCCTAACTCCTCATTTTAACAAGAGGAGATTGGAGGAAAGTGAGGCAAACTGCCCTCCCATGGCTCTGCCCTGAGCTTTTCCAGTTCTGAGTGGTGGTTTAGTTTCTGGGTTTGACCTCCTGGAGGCCCCACAGCTGGCATGGTTGAGTGCCATCTGCCCAGTTTGGCTGAAGTCATTTGAGAACGGGAAGAGAGACTTGGGTGCTTGGGAGGCTGTAACTTCTCACCCTGGACTTCCACTTTTGAGGGTTGGAACTTAATAACAGCTAAAAAGGAAACTGCAGGCTCAGAAGCCCCAAGAGGAACAAAGGCAACCAGGAGATGGGTATAAAAGCCAGACCCCGCAAGGCCTGACTGAAAAGTGGGCACACCAGGCCCATGGCCTTTTCGAGCTCCCTCCTCAGCAGGCTGAGGGATGGGAACAGCAGGCACCGTGGGAAACCACTGAGGTTTCTCAGCGTCTCCGTGGTTTCTGCTGTGGATGGTCCCTGACGGTCACACACTTAGGGCACCCACATTTCCCTCCTGACTGAGAGAACAAAGCTGACAGTGCTTGAAAAAACTCCCAGGCATGGGGCTGGAGGATGGCTCAGCAGTTAAGAGCACTGACTGCTCTTCCAGAGGACCCAGGTTCAATTCCCAGCACCGACATGGCAGCTAACAACTGTCTGGAATTCCAAGATCTGATACCCTCTCACAGACACACATGCAGGCAAAACACCAATGCACATAAAATAAAAATAAATAAATTAAAAAAGAAAAGAAAAAAACCCAGGGTAAGTTTAAGTGTACAATGATTGTCATTATTTAAACACATGTATCTGCATTTATGTATAACAATAGTTTAAAAAGTATTCAAAAAGTGGTAGTTAATGCCTGTAATCCCAGCATTCAGGAGGCTGAGAAAGGAAGACCAAGAGTTCAAGATCATCCTGTGCTGAATAATGATTCTGAAGCCAACCTGGGCTATATAACAAGACTCTGTCTTAAAATTAAAAATAAAATCAAAAGCTGGGTAGTGGTGTGGTGCATGCCTGTAATCCTAGCACTCAGGAGGCAAGGGCAAGAAGATCTGTGTGAGTTCAAGGTGAGCCTGGTCTACAGAGCAAGTTCCCAGACAGCCAGGGCTGTTACACAGAGAAAGTCTGTCTCAACAACAACAACAAAAACAAAAACAAAAAAAAAAATCAAATCAAAGTGTAAATATTGTTGCATGAAATACTCTCATTTTAAAGTTTAAAGTTATTTATTTACTGGCTGATAAGGGACAGCTGCTGTGTTGGCCAGGTGTGGGGACAGAGACATGGCAGCTGTGAAGGCCAGGGTGGGGATACTACAAACATGTGAGATAGAGGACAGCTTTGTGAAGCTGGATCTCTCCTTCCCACCTTTACATGTATGTGTTCTGGGAATCAAACTCAATTCACCATGCTTGTGTGGCAAGTGCCTTTACCTGCTGAGCCACCTCCCTTTACTTTGGCTTATCAAACAGCACCTGAGGATCATAAACATTTGCTCCAGATATACATGAAGGCGTCCATTTCAGCAGTGTTTATAACAGCAAGACCTTGGTAACACTGAGGGGCCAGTGATGGTGGCGGTGTGACCAACTGTAGTATATGTTTGGGATAAAATTGGTGACAGCACAGGAATTATCTGTGGCCATTCCCACCTGGATGTTCTAGGTGTCATCTAAGAAAGTACAAATGTACTTAGCACTTGTCATGTGCCAGGCATTCTGTTAAAAGTTTTATATGTGGGCTGGGCGGCAGTGGCGCATGCCTTTTATCAAAGCACTCAGGAGGGCAGAGCCAAGGGGATCTCTGTGAGTTCGAGGACAGACTGGTCTACAGAGTGAGATTCAGGACAGGCACCAAAACTACACAGAGAAACCCTGTCTCTGGGGGAAAAAAAAAAAAAGTTTTATATGTCTTATTTCATTTAATCCTCATTATATCTCCACAACTGAGGTACTATTTCTTGTTTTTTGTTTGTTTTTGTTTTTCTTGAGACAGAGTTTTTCTTTGTAATAGTCTTGGCTGTCCTGTAACTATCTCTGTAGACAAGGCTGGCCTCGAACTCACAGAGATCCGCCTGCCTCTGCCTTCCGCATACTGGGATTAAAGGCATGCACCAGCACTGCCCGGCCTACCTTAGTTTATTATTGGAACCTGGGTGGAGGTATTGCTTATCTCTCCCAGGGAAGAAATTTTAGTAACAATCCTGAAATGGAACTGACTCTCCAGCTGAAGGGTACAATGGTACCAAAGGAGCCAGCAGCCTCTGCAGAGGCTTCTACCTGTCATAGGCACAGTTGGTGCTCTTCTTGACTGTGGTGTCCTCTTGATCCCCAATCAGCCAAACGAAGTGGGGGTCCATCCTCAAACGGATGTTCTTCCAGGCCTTCTTTGGGACATAGCTGCAGCCAGCGTTGAAGTCACCCATGAAGATGAAACTCTGAAAGGCATATTTTAGAACCATCACCTGGCAAGCACTGGAATATACGCCTTCATTCTCAACCACCGGCAAGGACCCCACCTTCTATGCCCAGTGAAAAAAGAGGGTTGTTTGTTTGTTTGTTTTGTTTCATTGGGTTTTCAAGACACAGTTTCTCTGTGTAGCCCTAGCTGTCCTAGACCTTGCTCTGTAGATCAGGCTGGCCTCGAACTCAGAAATCTGCCTCCCAAGTGCTGAAATTGAAGGCATGAGCCACCACCACTCAGCTACAAAGAGGTCTTTCATGACCTGGGCTGGACCCCTCCCAATATATTTTATTTGTTTCTTTTACATTTATTATTATTATTATTATTTGTGTGTGTGTGTGTGTGTGTGTGTGTGTTTGTAGGTTAGAGGACAACTTACAGGTGTTGGTTCTCTTCTGTCCTTCTACTGTAGATTTCAGGGACATAACTTGGGACATCAGGCTTGCATAGCAAATTCTTTTACATCCTGAACCATGTCACTGACCCATCCATTCCAATGTTAACTCCTGGCCCCAACACACTAGAATGTGACTATGTACAGAGTCTCATGTAACCTAGGCTGGCCTCAAACTGGCTATGTAGCCCAGAATGGCCTTGGACCCCTGATTCTCTTGTATTCGCCTCTTGATCTCTGTGCACTACCACATCCAGTTGGAGAATGAGACTTTAAAAATATAATTAAGGTAAAAATGAGGTCAGGTGGGTGACCCCTTATGCAGGCGCAGGACTGGGGACTTGCTCAATGGTAGTGTGCGTGCAACTAAGAGGTCCTGGCTTTGATCCTCATCATGACAATAATAAATAAATGAATTTAAACAAGTGAAATGGGGATTAGAACACAGAAAGACACAGAGGAAAGACAATGCAGAGACACCAGAAGAAGATGAGCATCTACAAGCCAACGACCCAGCTCCCATACACTGGCCTTGGCTCTACAGCCTCCAGAGCAGTGAGAAAGAGCCCAGAGCTGCTTCATGCACCTGGCTCTGGTGCACTGCTATGTCACTAGTGAATTCACAGAGCTTTCATCTTTATTTCCTTTTTAAGAGAGGAGAAAACAGGTTACAAGTGAGTCAGAGTTTTTGACAAGGATCTGGCAGTGAGAACAAGAAGTGGGAGAGAAGATGTTCACCCCACAATGCCATCCTGTTCTTAGTCACCCTATCTCTGAAATCTGTTGTGCACAGGTAGGCAAGAACACTGGAATCCAGCTAAGATATTCCCTCACATAAATACTGCAACAAATGTGAAGGAATAACCATCTCAGTTCCCAAGAGGCAAAATTAACTCCAGTAGTGTGGTGATGGCTGCTTTGGTATCTTTCTGTGTCCTATTGTATGTACTGAGGTCAGAAACTAATTCCTATAAAAATGCAATCCTTAGAGGGGGAAATTCCTAAAGGAGGCAGGCCGTAGAGTGACTTGCCTTTCTCTACCCTATACCACCAAGGTTTGGAAGTGCACCATCCCCCACAGGCTGTGGCAAGAGAATTTTAACATTCCACAATACAGAGGAAATATCTTACTTCCTTGTGCTATTGTTTGGGATGATTGCTGACCTGAGAGTTTTTCTTGAGAATATTTCATTTTTATCTCTGCAATCAGAGTTTCCCTTGAGATTAAGGATGCCATCCCTAACCTATGTGCCCCAACCAGCATGAAGTGATTTACCAAGCTCAGTTCGCATGACTTGAAAGCACCATTAACCATAGCAGAAACAGGTAAGGGGGATCAAACGGCTGTTCTAGGCCACACAATCGGGAGGCTTAAGCAATATAGCCCAGGGCCAAACCTCAGTCTGCCCTCCATCCAAAGTTTCTTCCCCAGATGCTCAATATATTCTTGCTAAATGTGTGGATTTCATCATTTGTCTTGGAACTTAGAAATAAGCAGTGAAATGCAACCCTGACCTTCTCGATGGCCAATTCTGACCAGCTGTGTCCATACTTACTCATTTTGCACCTTGAATGGGGGAACTGAGGAGAAAGAGGGGCTCTCAGCATCACATTCCGAAAGGAAAAAACAGGAATTTAGTAGGAGAGCCCTCTGAGCACTTCCACATTTGCCAGGTGCTTCCTCAAACCCTCAGAGCCACAGGTGGCAGCATCCCTATCTTCCAAATGAGAGGTGATGACTGTCTTGAGGAGTGAACGCCATAATTGCTTCTCCTTTCATGATCTTGCCACTTGCCTCTGAAACACTCCTGACCTGCTGGACCTCACTGTTCTCAGTTGTAAACTGGGACTGATTAAAGACCTTGTGTGGTTGGTGTACACTGTGCAGGTACACGTGTGTGTGCTTGTGGGATTACTTAGTGTGTGCACAGTGCAGTACACATGTGTGTGCTTGTAGAGGCCAGAGTACAACCTTGGGTGCTGTCCTTAGGTACTGCTGCTTTCTCTTTTTGTGGTTGGGTCTCTCACTGGCCTGGAACTTGCCAAGCAGGCTAAACTAGCTAGCCATTGAGTCCCAGAAATTTGCCTGCCTGTCTTCAGCACTGGGATTGTAAATTTGCACCAGTATGTCCAACTCTCTCTCTCTCTCTCTCTCTCTCTCTCTCTCTCTCTCTCTCTCTCTCTCTCTCTCTCTCTCTCTCTCTGTGTGTGTGTGTGTGTGTGTGTGTGTGTCTGTCTGTCTGTCTGTGTCTTTGTGTGTCAATGTGTATTGTTTCATTTTATGGTTTCTGGGAATTGAACTCGGGTCCAAATGCTTTCAGGGCAAGCACTTTAACAAATGAACCATCTCCCCAGGCCCTTGTTGGATGATTAAATTCACTTGTTCATGTGCAGTCTCAGTACCTAGGCCTTAGTACCAAACAGTTAATAATACTGGCATCCATTAAAAATGCAGCAGAGCATGAATTCCTAAGACCCACAGGGACAGGCCCAGGCAGCGTTAGCAAGGATGTTCAGGGCTGAGGAAAAGCCTAAAATAAGGCTGTGCATGAGTAGTGGCTTGTATGTATTCTGTTCCCTCACCCTCATACTCAAATGATTGGGTGCTGCTTGATGGGAATGGGACAAGCACAAAGGTCCTCACCTCCACTTTCCATCGACGTTTCACATCCATGTAGACATCAACCAACTCATCCATCTCTTTAACAGAACTCTCAGGAGTTGTATGCAAGGGGACAACCACAAAGTCTTTGACAGCTGAGGAATAACAAATAGGAGATGGCACGATTCCCATTAAGGGCCACTAACTGTAGCTAGAGTTTTCCTGGTCCTGTCTGGCCCACAGTCAGGACAAATCTCTCTCACCCGCCAGTCCTGCAGCTGCTCAGACCCAACCAAGTAAACACACAGAGACTTATATTACTTATAAAGTGTATGGTCATGGCAGGCTTCTTGCTAACTGTTCTTATATCTTAGATGAACCCATTTCTATTAATCTATAAGTTGCCACATGGCTTGTGGCTTACCGGTATTTTACGAGTTGGTACTCATGGCGGTGGCTGGCAGCGTCTCCTGACTCAGCCTTCCTATTCCCAGAATTCTCTTCTCTGCTTGTCCCACCTATACTTCCTGCCTGGCCACTGGCCAATCAGCATTTTATTTATACAGAGCAATATCCACAGCAACTAACATTGCCTGAAGAAGGCCCTTCTAAGAGACATTGCTGCATTGTGAGGGCATGATGGAAGCTGGAGACAAAGGGTCCAGCCAGGGGCTGAGATTTCAATGCTCTTAGAGTCACAGGCCACTTGTTTTCAGGACAAGAAAGATTATTTTCTCCGACCTGTGCTCTTTCCAGCTAAAAGGAAGCTGGTGAAGATGATCCCTCCTGGCACCATGGGTTCTCTCTTTCTTCTTCTCTCTCCTTCCTTTCCTTTCTTTTTTAAGTGTGTGTGTGTGTGTGTGTGTGTGTGTGTGTGTGTGTGTGTGTGTGTGTGTTTGTGTGTGTGTGTGTGTGTGACACAAAATACCTTGCAGAGTTGGTTTTCTCCTTTTACTATATGGGTTCTGGGAACCTCATCTACTCTTTCTTTTTCAAATCTTCATTTTTCTCGGTTTATTTGGAGCACTAAAAATTGTTCATGTTTTATGGCTATGCTATTCTTTCTAAAAGTAATAAATCTTTTTTATTACTTTTTTATATGGGTGGGGTGGCATATATATGTAATCCTAAACTTGGGTAGCTGAGATGGAGGAATCAGGCATTTGAGGCCCGCCCCAGCTACAAGAGAATGCCTCAAAAATGAAAACATAACCTACAGCAAATGAACAAAGGTTACAGGGCCTTAGTGGCTGCTTTTGTTTACAGCCATCTTCTGGGACTGTAGATGTCCAAGGCATGGCTAAAGGCAGGATGAACACTGGGCGTCTCTGCATTTTTTTTTTTTTTGGTATCTGTTTCCTCTGCTGCCTTAAACTCTGGGTCAGATTCTTTGCTGACATATTTGCCATTTAAGGAGGCAACAGGTTGGCAAGTCTCTCATCCTCCCCAAGACTTAAGACAGAGAGATACTTTTGGCATTCTAGAAACAGTGAACCTTGTAGGCAGACCAAGCCCTGACAGAAACCTAGGCTATAACCTCAGGCAGCAACAGTGTCCTCTAGGGGACCTGGAGCCAGTAACAAAACTACACATGACATCATGACAAAGACTATTGACCAATGCCCAATTCTACCTTCCTTGCTTTTCTTCTTTCCTCTATAACCCTTGCTGGGATCACCCAGGACAGGCCTCAGTCTTGGGTCCTCAGCAGGGAACATAGTAGGTAGTGAAAAGCATTAACTTGACATGCTGCAACTTAAAACAAATTTTAATTCTTGATTCTTTTATTTTTTTTCTTTCAGTGCAGCAGATTGAATCCAGAACCTTATACCAAAGGCTCTTTCACCAAACTATACTTTGGGCCCTTGGTATTTTTAGACAGAGTTTCACAATATAGCTTAGGCTGACCTTGAACTGCTGATCCTTCTCACTCTGCCTGAGTGCTGAAATCACATGTATGTGCCACCATGTCTGGTGAATTTTTGACATTCCGTTGAGTTCAGTGGTGATTGGGAATATGGGTTTGTGGGTTGGTGGCTTGACTTACAACTCTGCCTTGTCTACTTTAATAGCTGGACTTGAGCAAGCAAAAATGCCTTTAAAACCTCAGTTTCCTCAAATCTGAGTAGGGGATAATCCTAGTCCCTGTTACACTGCAGTGTATGGAAGAATAACAGGAAAGTGGATATTAATCATGGACTAGTAGCTGTGTTGTTGGGGGTCAAAGTGCACTTGGTTTAGCTTTTATCCCTCCTGACAATCCGTAAAGGGTAGAGTTATCAATGAACCTGAGAGTGGTATCCAGGTTAGGAGGTCCTACATCTTGGCATTCTGAAAAGCAAGCCTGGTACCATCAGACCAACTTTTTTTCTCAAGTATTAACTCTCACGTCAGACATCCCATAAGACAAGGTGTGACTCTGAGAGCATGGCTCACACATGCTCAGGGCTGTGCCCTTTCATGGACTGTTGGAGAGATCATCAGGAGAAGGGCTATTATGGTTTAAATATAAAACGTCCTTCATAGGTTCATGTGTTGAATGCCTGGTCCCTAACCGGTAGCAGTATTTTGGGAGGCTGTGAAAACTTTAAGACATGGGGCTTTGCTGGAGGAAGTGGATCACTGGGGAGTGACTTTGGAGGTTATCCCTAGGCCCCAGTGCCTTTCTCACACCTGTCCACCATGAAGTGAAGAAGCCCCATGACACTGATATGACATTCTGCCTCATCACAGCCTCGGAATCCACAAAGCCCCAGCTGTGACCTGAACCCTTTAAAACGTAAATAAATCTCTCCTTCTCTGAGATGTTTGGGCCAGGTATTTGGTAATAGCAACCTCAAGAGTAACTAATACAGGGTCCTGGTCTTACCAGTGAAGGGCGCCTGGAACCAAACCACAAAGGGCTCCCTGGAAAATACGTCGATGTCTCCGTCCTGATAGTCATGGTAGAGGTATCTTGCCTTCACAGATACCAGCTTTTCTCTAGGAGAGAGAGAGAGAGAGAGAGAGAGAGAGAGAGAGAGAGAGAGAGAGAGAGAGAGAGAGAGAGAGAGAGAAGGATTTCCTCTCACTGAGTCCTTTAGTTGTGACTTCCAGAGCAGGCTCAAGCTCTGGAGGGGGGTTTCCTCTAAGAACAGGCAGAATCAGCTCTTGTCAATGAGTTGAGGGTCTGAGTTATACTTGCTGTATGGGGGCACATATGGTGATTGTTCAGACTTTAAACAGATTGACAGGAGGAGACCAGTGGGATTCATCTGTTCTGTGCTCAGATGAGCTGGGCCAGGACTTCCCAGAAGGATAAAGAACTGCTTGCCCTAGCCAGTCATTAGTTGTCACAAAGCTGCTGTGTTTTTCTAGTTAATGATTGAATCGTTTTTTTGTGGCAGTTTCAGATGACTTGTTTGAGACAGGGTCTCACCTGATGTAGATCAGGCTGACTTTGAACTTGCCATGGTGCTTGAAGTCCAGGTCCTTTTACCTTCACCTTCCAGGTGGGATGAAAGGCCTGTGCTGCCTCAGTGCCAGGGAGTGAATCAGGCTTTGCACATGCTAGGCAGGCAAGCACTCCGCTGACTGAGATACATCCCCAGGACATGAGTTTGACAGCAAAGACTCTGACTGGGGATGATAACTGCTTAGAGACAAGAATCAAATGTTTTTTTTTTATTTGAGACAGGGTCTCAATTTGTAACTCTCACTAGCCTGGAACTATGTAGACCAGGCTGGTCAACGACTCACAGAAATCTGCCTGCCTCTGCCTTCCAAGTACTGTTATTAAAGGTATATTCTGCCATGCCAGGCCCAGAATCTATTTTTAAGGAAAATACAATACACATATTTGGGTTCAATTCAGACAGATCAAACTCACTTGTAGAGGAAGGCATACTGTTCTTTGTATGTGTTTCTTCCAAGTCGAGAACTAATCACATAGTTGTATGTTGTGCTTCTCCGTGAATTTCTAGAAAACAAATTTTAGTGTGTTGTGAAAAATAAACATGCCTCTGCTGCATCTGCCCCCACCCCAATCCCCACCCCTACCTCAACATCCCCAGTAGTAGCATGTAGTACCACAGCTGCCCCACCCCTGCCTCCACGTGCCCAGTGCTAGCATACAGTACCACAGCTGCTCACTTGCTCATCCTTCCTTCCTTCCTTCCTTCCTTCCTTCCTTCCTTCCTTCCTTCCTTCCTTCCTCCCTCCCTTCCTTCCTTACTTCCTTCCTTTCTTTATAAGTTCCCTGGAGCTGGAATTACAGACAATTGCTAGGAATTGAACTCAGGTTCCTGAAGAGCAGTCAATGCTTTTAACCACTGAACTATCTCTCCAGCCCCAAGACAGGGTTTCTCTGTGTAGCCCTGGCTGTCCTGGAACTCGCTCTGTAGACCAGACTGGCCTTGAACTCACAGAAATCTGCCTGCCTCTGCCTCTAGAGTGCTGGGATTAAAGGCATGCACCACCACCTACTGTGTGATTTGATAAACACAAGGCTAGGATTTAAAGCCAGACTTTTCCACTTCAGACCCCACAAGCTTCAACCTGCTTCTGTGGGAATCACAGAGACCAGAGATGACCTAGGCAGAATCAGAAATTCCTGGTTTTAATCTTCAATATGGCCTAACAGGTAAAAGTGCTCCTGGCCAAACCTAACAGTTTGAGTTTAGTCTCCAGCACCCAAAGAGAGGAAAGAGAGATCTGATACCTGCAAATTGTTCTTTGACCTCTACATGCATGTTGTTGTACATGCACGCGCTGGGGACAGGCTCAAATGTTCTGGGGCTGATTTCAAACAATTAACTATTTATTCCTGGGGTGTAGAGCTTCATGATGTGGGGAGGAGGAGGGCAGCAGATTATCCCTGGTCAGGGAAACCTGGCCCTCTCTAGGAATGTGTCAAGTCTGCCAATAACCTACTCTAGCTAGCCCTGCACTCTTTCCTTTCATCTGCCTCTAAAAGGACTGGGGCCTGATTAATACTTGTCTGTCTTGTGGTCAGTGGGAAAGACAGAGGGGCTGACTTAGGGGCCAACTTAAATTCTACAGAAATTTCTGGGGTTTCCAATGTGTGTGCTAAGCCAGACCCAACCGTGGGAGCCTAGGAGTGAGAGTGACAGACCTTGCTAGGTGTTCAGTTGGAAGGCTGGCCCTCTGCTAACTCTAGCTTGCTGAGTCTTGAGGTGGCATATTGCTTTAGAACTTCAGTATGAAGTGACTCAGATCCTTGCCTGTTTTACAGAGGACAAAGGTGTGCTTGAGGCTGCAAAATTAACGCACATATACAGCACGGTCTTAGCATGTGTGTGGCAGTAAGTTCATCTAACTGAGAGAGCAGTGGGGGTGGGGCTTTTTTGTTTTTTGTTCTCAGCCCAGTCTAGGTAGGTTGTGGGTGAGGGCATTGAGACCCATCATCTCCAGACTGGCCCCAGACTGGCTGTGGGGAGAAGGCTGGAGTCTACTTCTCCCTTGGCCCTTTACACTCCTGAAAACTTGCTTGAAGACTGAAGGGGCTGAGATAGGGCCCAGGTCCAAAGGTAAGTGTGATGAGCATGCCTCCTCCCATGATGTACTGCCTTGACACAGACCCCAAAGGAGCAGGCCAACTGACCATGACCTGAAACCCCCAAAACAGTGAGCAAATGCAACCTTTCCTCTTTTTAGATGTTTCTCTCAGGTATTTTATCACGGCAATGGAAAGCTGATGAATATGGTAGCTTGCTGATCATTCAGAAGGAATATAAATCATGAGTATTAGCCAGTGTCATTTAAAACTATTGGAAGATACTGTTGTGCCCTGGGCGCAAGACCCCCAAAGAGACCACCAGAGACACAAACTCATCAAAATGCAAAAGCAAGGTTTATTGGAGCAGTTCAAGCTGCGGCAGGGACCTCAGCTGAGCACCTCGACACAGGGGAGACTAGAGGAGGTCCCCGCCCTTTTGCAAGCTCAGGTTTTAAAGGCAAAAACCAAAAGGTTGCATCATTTAGGGGTGCTAGTACGGGTACAATTCTGATTGGCTCAAGTTTTAGGGGCTTTCCAGAATTTCCTTGTTATCTTACTTTGTAGTTTTAACCAGTTGTTTGTCAAACTTTATAGACTACCTCTGGCATTGGGGCATTCTGTGGTTAAACAGTTGCTACCAGATGGCTCTTCAAACATCCTGACTTTGTCCTGGGACCTATGTCAGCAGCTCTGAGAATTTTGAAACTCAGGCCTGTTTCAAGCTGGGATAAGGGGCTTCCTTGAAATGGGGGTGCTTTGGTTCTCAGATACTGCTTTTTGTTTCCATTAGTTTTCAAACTATAAAATCAACTTGTTCTGGTGGTAAAACACTCAAATTATATAGAAGTACTGAAACAAAAAAGGTTTCCTATTCTTTAACTGACCTAGCTCCACATTGGCTTTTTAATCTTATCTCCCAGAAGTAACTGTTAACAATCCTTAGCTCACCCTCCCACATTTCTCCTGTGATGATCCAGACAACCTCTCTCCCAGTATTCATATGAAAAGTAACATGGTGACCCAAACTCATTGTTGCTGATACATTGTAGCCATCTTTCCAGGCTGACATATTTAGCTGTATAATATTACAACCTGGGGCTCATTGTGACTTTCCTGAAGGCTTCTCCTGTCCTCTCTGTTCCTTCTTTACATTAGCTCATTACTCCTTTCTCTTTCCTGTCCCAATCCTTTGCCTTTTTGCTCTTTTCACTCTGTCATATTAAAACCAGTCAAGTTTACATTCACAGTAGGAGCCCACTGGGCCCTGGCCACGTGACCTGGTGGTTCAAGTAATAATCAGCTGGTTTCTACTGCCCTGTAATTTGTTGGGTGCCCTTGCACGTGACTTAAGTTCTCTGGGCCCCATCCCTCTCCCTATTTACCCATTCAGCTTTTCCATCAGCATGGGGCAGATGTTGTTGCTGCTGTCCTTGATTTCCATCAGGAGTATAAGGTCACAGCGTTTGATGATCTGCAAAGAGAGAATTTCCAGGACTTGAGGCTGTTTACTGTAAATCACAAAACCTTTCATCAGGCACTTGCTGGGCTCCACAGTCAGATGCTTGCTAACAGAACTAAATCTCTTCCTGAATAAAAGGACTTCCTGAGAGTAGTCCTTTGTTGATGTTTGCTGTTGTTTTGAGATGGGGACTCATCACTTAGGCTGGCCCCAAACTCTAGGGCTGAAATAATCCTCCTGACTCAGTCCTAAGTAACTAGGATTTCAGGGGTGCATCATGTGCCCAGTGGTTTGGTTGCTGTTGTTCTTTAATTTATTTTCTGTCCATTTAAATTTTTTAAATTAATTTTTTTTATTTGAGGCAGGGTCTCACTATATAGCCCTGACAGGCCTGGAACTCAGAGATCTGCCTGCCTCTGTCTCCAGAGTGCTGGAATTAAAGGTGTGCACCACCATACCCAGCTTGTATGTCCATCTTAAGGATGAGGAGACTGAAGATCAGACAATGTCAAGCGTATTAGCCAGCCATGCAGCTACAAAGTAGTACCACATTGGCATCTGAACATAAGCAACCAACCAGAGTCCTAACCATGACGCTCCCACACATCCTACAGCTTGGGTTTGCTTGAGTGATTATTGTAGTGGTGAAAGCAATAAATACCTGTTAACCCTTTAATGAGTAAAGGTATTAGGCTGAGTGTTAGAGATATCAGGAGGCATAATTACAGTGATAATAACCATAAGAGCTAACATTTACTAACCTACTTCACAACAACCCTAAGAGAGGGATATGATGGCTGACCCCTTAAATCTAGATGGTAACTAAACTCAGAGTAGTTTAGCAATTATCCAAAAGTCACACAGTCAGTACAGGTGGGGAAGCCAGGATCCCAGCTCAAGTTCTTCAGGTTTTACTATGTTCAGTCATTAAAATACAGTCACTCAGAGTCTCTGAGTCTAACTGAAGAAGAAGGTTTAATGGAGGGAAAGTAGAGTTTGTGCTAAGTGAAAGTCACAAGCCATGGACATGCTGGACGTGTTGGGGAATAATTAATTGCTTCTGTCAGAAGATCAGGGAAGGCTCCTGGGAAGAGATAGCATTTAGTCCCTGAAAGGTTAGAAATAAATCAATAGGAGAAAAAAATACAAGAGACACTTTGTCAGGGTAAGCTGAAATTGGGGAGCAGAAAGAGCTCACACCCCTTGATGACCATGTGGCTCTGAATAATGGGATGCTGGTGACTCAGTACCATAGGATGTGTCCATTGAGGATGAAGCATCTCCAAGGTTAGTTTTGTTCTCAAACACAGCATTAACATCATAGAGTGCCACTGGCCTCTATTTCCATAGAATCTCCAGTTCTGTTGCTGCAGGGTGGAGTCCAGGTTCCCCAGGACCAGCCTTTAAGGAGCTGGGGACTGAGGACTGACTGGTCAGGAAGCCTGGATTCTAGGTGAAACCCACAGCATTGACCACACAGACCTTGTGCTGTGGCTCAAGCCAGCCTGCTGGTTAGTCACTGGAAACTACCAGACCTTTCTAGAAGTGACTTTAAAATGCACACATTCAGTGGGTGTAAGGTATACACATTTAAGCCCAGCATGGAGAGGCAAAGGCAGGCAGATTTGTGTGAGTTCAAGGCCAGCCTGGACTCCATAGTGATACCCTGTCTCAAAACACAAAGACAAACAAATGTACACACTCTTTGTTTCAATTTTCCCATTTTGATCCTTTACAATGGTAATAAGATGGTGTGAGAGTTTAGGGCAATGCCAGTTATGTAGGTGGTCAGAAGTAGATCACTATTTCTAAGGCCCAGTGGTTGAGTACCTACTACACTAGACCAGGACTTTCACATTTGTACTTAATATTACCACATAGTCAGCATTCTTTGTGTGTGTGTGTGTGTGTGTGTGTGTGTGTGTGTGTGTGTGTGTGTGTGTGTGTAGGGAGATGGGCACATATGTTTGTGGGTGTGGATATACTTATATATGTGAGGACATGTGAAGACCAGAGGTCAACCTCAGGAGCCTTCAATCTTGTTTTTTGTTTGTTTGTTTGATCGTTTGTTGTTTTTGTTTTTTGAGACAAGTTTCTCATTGGGACCTGCCTTGAAAATTAGGCCAGACTGGCTGAACAATAAGCCCCAGCAATCCCAGTCTCTGCCTCCTCAGCACTGGGATGACAAGTGTGTACCATTACACTTGGCCTTTTCACATGGGGGAATCAAAGTCAGTCCCTTGCTTGGTCAGCCAACATCTTACTTTAAACATCTCCCTAGACTTGTCCTTCTTTATCACTGAGAAAGCCAATGCTTTGAGTGCTGGAGTAACTTCGCAGGTTTTCATAGGTAGCTGGGAAGAGCAAGGGTCAATCCCGACTATGTAAGCTAGATGTCTCTCCCACTTTTCTACACTAGTCAGACCACATCAGCGACAATGTTGTCAGCATTTTGTCATCACTCTGCCCTCCACTAGCATAGGTAGAGCATGAAGGAAGCCACCTGCCCATCTTGTGTTTGCCTTTCCAATCATTTGTAGTTATCTGACACTAAGCCAGGCCTGGGTGAGTCTTCTGTGTTTCTCATTTTACATCCTCCTGAACAGAGTTTGTTCATCCATCAAGTCTGAATGGGGTGTAGGGTAAAAGGGCCAACCAAAGAAACCCACCCTGGCCCTGAAACCAGAGCCGGTGAAAGAAACACATCCTGGCCCTGAAACCATTACTAGTCAAAGAAATATACCCTGGCCCTGAAACTAGAGCCAAAAGGCTAAAAAGGGCCAATGAAAGAAACACACTTTGGCTCTGAAACCATTGCCAAATCTGTCCTTGACCAAAACTAACCAATCCCTGATCATGAAATCTAGCCAATCTGAGCTTGCCCAAGCTCAAGGCGATCAAAATCTGACCAATTCCCTCCCTGAAAATCTTCTCCCTAGAAAAAGTCTGCCCCCAAGAAGTCCTAATGTAAGCCCTGGTTAGTTGGCAGCTGTCCCTTTTCATCCTGGCAGAGGTGGCCACTCTCCTAGATTCCTTCTTCCCAAATATGTTTTGAAAGAGTTTTGGGTGAAGACCTTCTTTCACCAGCATGGAGCAGAATCTTTGCTGGGAAACTCCCTTGGGGGGCGCGGGGGCAGAAGAAGCAACTGATACCTCTCCTGGGAAACTCCCTTGGGGAGCCGAGCAGAGCTCAACTGTAATGGCTCTCTCAGAGAGGAACATGATTGCCACATCCTGTGGGGAGATTATCCCCCATTGGAACCCAGCTTCATGTATAGCCTGACTTCCCAACAAGTCAGGATACCTTTTTATCCAGTGCTGTAACACTTGCAGGGAGAGCCTGACTTCCAACAGTCTGGATTATCTTTCCTTCTGGAGCTATAACACTTGCAGGGAGAGCCTGACTTCCAACAGTCTGGATATCTTTCCTTCTGGACGTGTAACACTTGCAGGGAGAGCCTGTGCCAGACACTCCAAGGCACTGGGGATGGAATGGTGGATGGGGGCAGCTTGTCATCCTTCTCAGGCTCTAGAGTTCATGATAATCATTGTTTTCTGCAGTGCTATGTGCTGGGTCCTTAACAGGTGGAATTCTGTTCAACCTCATAATCGTCCTTGTTATCGTGTCCATTCTACAGATGGGACAACTGGAGCTCAGAGAGTAAGCCCGTGTGGTGAAGAACATAACTGGTAGAGAAGTGAATTGAACCCAAGTCTTCCCCATCATGTTATGTTGTTTCCTGTATCAGGGAGGGTTTTGTGAGTCTCTCTCTACCCAAGATCTTTCTAGACCTCTCCAGACTGTCCCTTCCCTCTCCCTCAGAGCACCAATGACACTCCTTATCTGGATTCTGTCCACACTAGCCATGCTCAGTCCTTCCTAGGCTCTTGCTCTCAGAGGTTTTAGCAGTACAGTGCATAGCATACCTGCCCTACAGACTGTGGTTTCCTTTTGTGAGTAGGTGGGAATTTGGCACTAATGAAAGCTTAAAGGGTCCAGAACTTGGTTCTGAAAGGGCCACCTGGGAGTCTCTTCCCAAGGAACAGGAACCGGAAGAAACATGTTTTTTCCCTCAGCCTCTGCCCTTTTGAGGATTCAAACTTGCAGATTCTTGTCTGAGAAAAACTTCCCAGAGATAGCAAGGAAACTGGAAACCAGTATCAGCTGGAGATTCAGGGCTCAGCAGTTCTTGGTAAACAAGGAAGAGGGATGTCAACAGGAAATCTGGCTGTGCTCTCAGGAAAGGGAATCTGAGCCCTGGCTTACACTTGCTCTATGCCAATGGGTCACACAAGAGAGGGACCTTAGCTTTTGGCATGCTAATCTTCTTGGCTATTGAGTGTAGTGGCCAAGAAGGGGGTCTGTAATACGATGGCCTATTGCTCATATTCCCTTGGCGGTCAGCTTACTAACTAACACTCACTGAACCTTGGAGTAACCAACTATACAGGGGGCTATGAGAGCTCTGAAGATCAAATCAGCAGATGGGACATGACTCAGTTGGTAGAATTCTTGCCTAGCATTCACAAAGCCCTATGCTCAGTCTCCAGGACTGCATAAACCATGTATGATAGCACATGCCTTTAATCCCAGCATTCAGGAAGTAGAGGCAGGGGAATCAGAAGTTCAAGGTCATCCTTGGCTACATAGGGAGTTTGAACAGCATAGACCTCATGAGAAATGATGGTAATGGTCTTCTAAAGCACAACTTGTAGTATTACATAATACCCTTCTCATGGTACATTTACATCACTAAACTGGATGTTTTCTTACTTGGGTTGTTTGCATTCTTTTAGTGGCAAATATATCTTTCTCTTTGATCCACTATTCTGATTGAGCACCAGGTTTTTGGGGTCAACCACCACTGCTCTGTGAGATAGCTCTGATAGTTTCTAGGGGATTGGCTTCTGATTGCAGAATGGCTTTATGAAAATGGGACAAAGTCTTGACAAAGGCTTTAGTCACACTTGGTGGGACTCACAGCTCAGGGGAGATGCTGTATGGAGGAACAGAATCATCAGAGTACAAAAAATACAGCCCTCAAGAGTGTGGCAACATTTCCAGGGATGAATAAGTTAGGAATGTAGATAGGCACTTAGGTCCCTAGGCTCTACTGGGCCACATGTGAAGAAGTTGGGAAATAGTTTTCTTGCATGTCAAATTTCTCCATTAAGCCATAGTGTCAGGATTCCCACAGGCTTGGCATATAAAACTACAACATCTAAAGGTACTTGAGTATCATCTAAAAGACAGAGTCACCTAGAGCCCACGGCTATCTTGGCAAGAGCGAGCAAGTCCCCTCCTTATACCCTTCTGCCCAACAGTAGTGTAACATGGGCCTCATCTTGGCTCCACTTGGCTTCACTCACCAGCCTTACCAGCCATTCAGTGGGAGAGCTCACTCTATGTGAAGAGCACCAGGAAGAGATGGGATCTTGAGCTCCTCAGGTGATAGATAGATGGAGTCTGAGCCTGGGGCTGCTGGCATTTTCACCACACACACAGGGGCCTCTTTTGTTGGTGTGTGTGTGTGTGTGTGTGTGTGTATGTGTGTTAAGATAGGGTCTCATGTATACCAGGCTGACCTTTAATTTGCTATATAGCCAAGGATGATCTTGAACTTTTGATCCTCTTATCTTTACATCCCTAGTGCTAAAGTTACAGGTGGCCAACTCCATGCCTGGTTCATGCAATGCTGAGAATGGAACTCTGGACTTCAAATGTTAAGCAAGCACTCTACCAACTGAAGTACATCACTAATCCTGCTAGTTTTTTGTTTGTTTGTTTGTTTGCTTGTTTTTAAGTAATAGGCACCCCACCAGAGTCCAAGTATCAAAAATAAATCAGCCCATTGGACAGAGAGTCAACTGGCTCCAGACAAATATAAGCAGCTTCCCCAGACATTGGTCATATTACCCAAGAACAGCAATATCCACAAGCAGAGAAAGTGCAGAATTGAGAGTTGGGAGAAGATCAATGAGGGAGAGGAATGAAGGGATGAAAGAAGAGAGCTAGGGAGGGAAGGAGGAAGAGAAGAAAAGAGAGAAAGCAGGTTTTGTCAATGATTATAAAGATGAAGTGGACAAGGCTGTACCAGTTCCCTCAATGCCCCTCCCTGGAGCTACCCAGTGTCACATCACCCTTCTGAGTTCATCTCCTCCACAAGGGAAAAAATAGTCCTTGCTCATAAGGTTGGCAAATGAGATCATGTATTTATAGTGCCTGACACAGGCATTCGGTATGTTCAATTAAAACCATCAGAACAGCAGCCCATACCTGGAACTGACTGCTAGCCAGACTCTGGAAAAACTGTCATGTTTACCTGCTCAGTAGCCTTGTAACACCCCTGTGGGAGACACAGAACCACCCAGTCTGAAGACATGACAGAAAGCACCCGAGCTGAGGTGGTTATTGCAATGGTGGTTACTGCTGTCCCTACCTCACCCAGAGGGCAGATTTCAAGTCCCTTGAGTCTGAAGCTGGAGGGAAGGTATAGGGGTATTCAGGACATGAGCACAACTCACCTTCACAATGACATCCATGGCATCGCGGTTTTCTTTCTTGCTCTCTCCAAAGGATCTCACATTGAAGGAGCAGAGCCTCAGGGCTAGGACATCATGGAGGACAAGGGAGAAGAGCAGCAAGGAGGCCAGACTCAAGAAAGATGGGTGTGGGAACATCTTTGCACTCCAGGGACTTCCGTCTGGATGAAGAGACAGCTCCCGGCTCACTGACTTATAAAGCCTGCTGATAACAGGAATTACTGGATCAGTTCAGGCCACTTTCACTTCTCTAAGGAACTCGTGATCATGGGTTTCAATCCCCAAGGAAATAAAGACAATGCGTTGGCCTTTAGAGAGTCCCCTATTTTCATTGTCTTTGTAAGGAAAGTAGCATGCTTAATTTAGGCACCAGCCTCCTTCAAGTCAGTCATAATCTCAGTGGGTAGGGGTGTAAGTGGGGGGTCAGTTCTGATCTCTGGACATGTCTCCTGTGGTAGCTTACCATGGACCTTTTTCTGACAGTTTATGAACTTAGAAGTGTCAACCCAGAGGCCACTGGGCTGGAGGAGCCATCTGCTGGGGGAATAAAGATTTGCTGAATAACTGCTTCAGGACACATCTGTGCAATGGCTCTTTAGCCATCTCCATAGGTGTGTAAGGTCAGGTTCAGTTTGAATGAAATGAGGCAAAGGATACCTTGAAATCTGAGGAAGGCAAGATAGAGATCCCATGAAGAACAGGCTGAGTCCCTCAGAGGCAGCAGAAAGAAACAAGATCCCTGCAGTAAAGTCCCCATGATGGCAGGGATGGCCGCACAACCCAAACAGGTGTTTCCAGTGGCTGCTGCTGCTGCTGTTTGGGAATGAGTAAGCAGCTTGGCATAATCCTGTAATGTGCACAGCTTAGTCATCACAGTTCACCAGCATCCTTGGGCTTGGGGTGAGGAGGGAGCACCAGTTAAGATTGTGTAATTCTCAAAAAATTCACCTGTATAAACCGAAGTGCCCAGAAAAAAAGCCACACCCATGTTACAGATTCTATAAAGCTGATTGACTAATAGACCTGCTGTGTCTGAAGAGTCAAGTTATCTTGCAGCCATCTTTAGTGCTCTTTAAAGGCCATTTATTGCCAGCTTCTGTGCGTGGCTTATCATTCTTGTGACAACTAGGTAAAATCCTTTTGGAATACATAAGCACAACCCTCTCTCCACTAACCCAGAATCCAAGAACGTCATCAGATAGCAGCTTAGGCCAATAACATGGATTCTCCCGATTTGTTGAAACCACCTACCCTGTATTCCCACCAATGTTTCTTTTGTTTTGTTTCTATAAAAATATACTATGGGGCTGGAGAGATGACTCAGCCGTTAAGAGCACTGGCTACTCTTCCAGAGGTCCTGAGTTCAATTCCCAGAAACCACATGGTGGTTCACAACTATCTATAGTGGGATCTGGTGCCCTCTTCTAGAAAAAAAAAAAGCAATAAATACTGATAGAGCACTCATATACATAAAATAAATAAATAATCTTAAAAATTTCTAAAAAGAAAAAAATCCTAAAACTGGGAGCTAGAGAGATGGCCCAGCAGTTAAGAGCACTGGATGATTTTCCAGAGGACCATCAGTTTCAATTCCCAGCACCCACATGGCTACTCACCATGGTCTGTAACTCTAGTTCCAGGGGATCTAACACCCTCTTCTGGCCTCCACAGACACCAGACATGCACATGGTGCACAGATATCCATGCAGACAAAACACTCATACACATTAATTAATTAGTTAGTTAGTTAATTAGTTTTAAAAATCCTAAAACTTGTTATCACGTTGGGACACAATGTTTGGAGAAGCCCAAATCTGTGCTTCTAGGTCATGTCACTCATATTTGGTTCTCATATTCCCTTTGCAATGAGAGCTATATTTTTGCAGGCACCTTTGTACCAGCTGGTGAAACAGACTTTCAATCCCACATGACAACTTCAACACAAGGCTGTGCTTGAACTTGAATAAAATTACCATATGAAGGGAAAACCCAAGTGCTATGCCTTCAAAATTCTTTCTCATTTTCTGAGACAGGGTCTCTAGCTCAGGCTGACCTCAAACTTCCTATGTAGACAAGAATAACCTTGAACTTCTGATCCTTCTGCCTCCACCTCCTGAGAACCACCACTCCCCATTTATGCACTTTTGAAGGTCAAACCCAGGGCCTCATGTGTGCTAGGTGAGCATCCAACCAACTGAACAACCTCTCCAGCCCCCTAAGGGCTCTTCTTTGACAGAAAGACCATATTCTTTGGTAGGGCCTTGTGGAACCAGCTCCCAGTTTTTGAAGGGTTCTTAGGTGGAGGAGAGAGGAATGAGGAAATATCAGATAGAAAGAGAGATCTAGGCAACAAGAAGAAAGACAGAAACACCAGATATCTTCAGGAGGGCCTAGACCAATATCCAACAGCCTCATTCTTTATTGAAAAGGGCTCTATAAAATATGCCAAGCAAGCTCAGATTCTCTGACCCTGAGTTCCCACAGGTCCCCCTCTTAACAATTTAAATCTCAAATGAGGGCACAGAGCTTAACTCTATGCAGCTCTGAATCAGCTTTCCACTAAGAGCTTGCAAGTAACTGGAATAATCATAGCAATATACCCATTCCCCATGGCTATCATATCTCCTAGTAAAGAAGTAGAGGATGATAAAGGTAGAATGGCCTTTTTAAATGGGTCTAAGATGTCTATAGCAGTCTTAGCTGCATGAAGCCCTTTTTTGAATCAATAAACTCCGGATGCAACTACATCAAGCCTAAAGAACTCCTTAGCATCACCATACCATGGTCCATCAATGAATGAATAGTACTGTACACAATTACAATTCCTACAAACTTACATCCAAAAGCAAACTCTCAATAGAACTATTTTCACTTAACAAACTTTAGCAAACATCCAAAAGCAATTTCTTAATAGAACCTTTTGCATTTCTTGCTAATAAAACATAAGGTGCATTGACACAAGTTAACATTAATCCACTCAAGGGACAAGAAAAAATTTTTTTCAAAAAGATTAAAGTGACTGAAGAATATTAACTTCCCCTTTTCTTTATAATTTTTTAAGCTTCATCTTGAGCCTGGGTAGAAAAAACAAATTTCTCCATTTCTACACAATACCAGTTCCATTTCTATACAAACAATTTGTGAGTCACCACAGTTAATAAAGTATATATACATACACAAAACAATTCATAAGTCATAGTTAATAATGTATATAGGTAAAATCAAAGTTGTCCCATTTCTGAGATTTGCAGAAGTTCAAAAAATCAGTTCTAATACCAGTTCCAAAGTTCAACTGACATCCAAGATCAGAGCCTGAAGTCTTTATATAACAGTCCAAGTTGTAATAACTCTTAGGCAAACAGTTCCAAATATGAGAAGTCTCATTACCAAAATTCATTGCAACTGCCCTGAATGAAACAACTCAACTCAGTTCAAACAAGCGTCTCTGAAGCCTCAATCTCAGCCACAGAGGCGCCTGCAGTTAGCTTTCCCCTAGCTGAAAATGGCTCCAGGGCAAAAGCTGAGGAGGACCTCATCATACAGCCATCCTGAACCACTAGCAAACAAACTGCACAGCTTTTTTACCATCCCAGTCTGTCTGCACCTCCTGTCTCCAGGCCTGCCCACCTAGAGACCCTGGCATCCTGAGGCCCTGACTTAGAGCTCTCTTGTGCCTCGTGGCACATGGCTGAATGCTGCCCAGCTGCTATGAGCTACAGTTCTCAAGCAGACCTTCCAGTATGGGAGGAAACTTGACCATGGCCTGTTGCAGCCGCTGCACCCTGCCTTCATTACCTGCTTTGCTGGAAGTCTTCTTCTGAGAGCACTGTCCTGCTTGCATGGCCAAATGCCACCTCAGGGTAGCTGCATATCTGTTGCTGGGAGCTTGGGCTGCATCAGTCTCAGCTGCACATCCAGCTGGCTGCTTCTTCTTCTCGCCACTGATGCTGCTTCTCTGCCTGGGGCAGCAATCTCTCCATAGGGCTTCTGCTGCTCACTGGTGCTCACCTTTAGCCTCTCCCGTGGCATCTCCGCTGGGCTCTGGGCAACAGACCTACTCTGGCCGCTGGGATCCGAAGTCTCCACTGCTGCTCTCCAAGCTGCTGCCTGTCGTTGGCCTCTCTCGCTGCACAGCATCTCTGCTTGGCTTGTCAAGGTTGTACGTAGGTAGCTTCAAGCTAGTCTCAGCAGAAAGCACACAGAACCTCTCTGCTAGCACTGCTTTCTCAGCATCTGCCGCTTCTGTTATGATGTCCTGGGAGTCTCAGCCACCTGACTGGGGCCACTGCTCATGCTCTGCTGCTGCTGTTGATTTCTGAAACTGGCAGTCTCTGTAGTGACTTTCTGAAGCTTCTGAAGCCACTTGTTCACAGTGACTGATAGGACCACTGCTTTGTGTGTCCCAGGTCCCGTCTGTGCTCTGGGAAAATTTACTCTGCCCTAAATTACTTTATATTAAACCTTCATCATATTCCTAGACTTAAAGCCTATATTCTCCCTTGATATACCTAAGCCTGGACAATATCTGTATACCTAACCATACATTTTTACCTAATTTTATAGATAGAAATTGAGAAAGAGAGAAACAGAGGAACATAGACAGAGACAGAGAGAGATACATGCTGCAGCCTAACTTTTACTACTTGCTTTGGCTTAACTGTTGGCCATTCTGCTTTATCTATATGCAGTTTTTGCTTCCGAAGAATAAAACATCACTGCCTTAACCTTAATTCATAACCAGACTTGCCCAGCTACTTCCACGGTGCACCCTACTCTCATTTATTTCCTCTAAACCCAAGTCCCAAGTTCTGGCACCATCTGTGGGAGGCCAGCTCCCACTTTTTGAAGGGTTCTTAGGTGGAGGAGAGAGGAATGAGGAAATATCAGATAGAAAGAGAGATCTAGTCAATGAGAAGAAAGACAAAAACACAGGGTAGTTTCAGGAGGGCCTGGATCAATACCCAACAGTCTTGTCATTTATTGAAAAGGGCTTTCTATAATATGCCAAGGGGAGAGGCAAAAGATCTCCCCCTTGCAAGATCAAAGCACACCATACAGCCAAGTGTAGACCCTTCCAAATACCTGATGAACACGCCTGTGGTCAAATCATCTCCTTACACAGCCCTGCTGGGTAAAGAAAGCTCAGAATATCTGACCCTGATCTCACTAGGAAGCCTCTGTGGGCTCCCACAGGGCCTCTATCCCTTACATGCTTAAAGTCATGCACACTTCCTCTCCTACTGCCTCTTATCAGATTCTGGTTTTCACTTCTCACCCCAGAGCCTTTGCATCAACCCTTGCACGCACAATGTTCTTCCTTACTCCTGCTTCCAGTCTCAAATATAATTCCACACTCTCAGAAAATGTGTTTTCTCTTTTGTGGGGTCTAGGTCTTGTGCTTTGTTCCAGGTACCACAATGTACTATCATATATGAGATGTGTGTTTCCTCATCTAATGTCTGCCCTCTCACTAGACAGCTCTTCATAAGCCCAGATATTGTGTGTGTGGGGGGGGGGGGGGGGGGTGGGTATACTGGCCAAGAAAGGATAGGCATGTAACAGGTGCTCAATAAATCACTGTTGAGTTACCCAGCTGATTCTCCAAAGCCCAGGTTCTCCATGACAGTATGGATGCTGAGCCAGGAAATTCAATTTCCCTGAACAACCATAGCAACTCCCTTCCCTAGCCACACAGACAAAAGAAAGCAATAGCAACAGCCACTGGAATGACAAATCCTTCCATGGAGTACTAGGGACTAACTCTGGCAGACTTTTGGGGGTCTTGCTGAAGTTTGCATTTCAAGTATCCCCCCCTCCCACTGCAGAGATTCATGAGTTAGAGGTTTAGTTCCAAGCATGGGGCCACTAAGTGGTGAAAACTATAAAAGGTGGTACCTAATGGAAAGTTTTAGGTCATTAGAGATGTACCCTAAGGGGGACTGTGGAGCAGCAATCATTTCCATGATCTCCTTTTGTTTTTCATGTCCCAGCCATGAAGGGAGCAACCTTGCTTCAATATATTTTCCTGCTATAAAATACTTACCCTTCACGGGCTACAAATAAACACAGCCTATGGATCATGGGCTTGACTTCCAAGATTGATCCAGAATGAACCACTTCTCTATATAAGTTGATTGTCTTTGGTGCTTGTTACAGTGATGAGAAGCTAACTAACTCAAGGCCAGGTAACTCTTTGTCATGGGTCTGTCCAGTGCACTCTAGGGTGTCTGGCAGCCTCCTGGCTACTTCCAGCTAGGTGCTAGTATCTTCCACATTGTGACAAACCCAGGAATCCCTTTAGTTGATAATGTTGGTGTGGAGGTTAGAGCAAATGTACTTCCAGTTACTGGCTGTTCAACCTTAGACAA